TTAATTGCAGAAGCCTTACATCTCTTTCTGTTCACTGTGGAGATAAGACTTCTCACAGTACTCAGCAGCAGAATAAAGTTGAGGCCTTAAGTTCTTCAGCTCCTGAAAGTTAAAAATTATGGTTCAGATTGGAATCAGTGCAACAATTCACCATCAAACTGCATACTTCTCATAAAAGAGAAACATTAAGGAAAATGCAGGGCAGCAAAACATATGTGAGCACGAGCATTGTACAATCAAGAATAAGAATAGATTCCAACAACTTATAAAATTAATTGGTCAAATTGAAAGGGTAAAGTTACATTGCATTGGAATAAAATACTAAACATATGATTTTTTTTTTTTCTTGTCATATATTTCAAAAAGATGCTTCATAGTATTAACAATATCCAACTTAATAGATTGCACTAAAATTAGCAGCTTGTTATAGTACCTATCATGTGGTTTTGCTATCATAACCTTTTCTCCTCGTTTATGCAAAAAAGAGTGACGAACTCATTTTTGTTAAGTTAAAATTGGTAAATTTATCAAATATTATCATCCATAAAACATTAATATCTTAGAACCAAAATATCCAATTATCTATAGCTTGTAAAGGAACTTAGGAATTGATAGCTAACAGCCCAAAAAACTAGGTCCTTAAGCAATATGCATCCTTGTACCAGTCCAAAAACATAAAACAGTTCTGAATTTCAACATTATTACATACTGACTTGAGAAGGTCCACCTCGAACTTAAGGGATAAAAGTATAGTCCATAATTTCTGGGAAAAACTAAATCAAATTTCCATAAAGATCATCACAAATAGCATTGAGAAAAAGAAAATAAGAATGCAAAGAATAGCAATCACACACACACATACACAAAAATCATAGTGAAGTAATTTACTCAGTTCAATGTATTTTATATTCAGAACTATAAACATGCAATGCACTGAAGCATTATCAATCAACAGTAAATTTCAATTTGGTAGCTGAGAAGATGTAGCATAAGAAATGAAATTCGGCTTTTAAAATCACAGAACTTGCATTTTTCGGAAACCAGAGAAAACAAAAGCCCCTATTCAACAATGCCTTTGCTACGTTGAGGCCATTCTTTCCAATTTTTAGCTAATAAGCCAACATGTGATGTAAGATTCAAAAGTTTCATTTCAGTTCCTTTTTCCTCAGGTTTCTCAGCAGCACTTAGAAAATAATTTATATGTATGGAGTGAGTGAAAGACAGGAAGAGAGCGCAACGAAGAGATCTGAAACCTGCAAGGCTTTGACGAAGCTCTTACTATGCTCCATGGACACCTCGTCGAAGGTCATCGCCGGAACGTCAGGTCGTGGTTTCTCCATTTCCATCTCTCTCTCTCTCTCTTCTCTCACTGTCTCACACACACGCAATCAAGGCCGCCTTGTGAAAATTCTGAAATGGTCAACCACTGAGATTCATAGAAACCCTAACTGCAATATTTAGAACAATTGACAATAGTTATTATATATATATATAGATATATATATATCAATGGCTGTGTTAGATTTTGAGTTGGGAGGTTAGAGAGAGAGAGATAGCTAGAGTGTGTGTAGTAGAAGCAATCTCGAGGAGTGCGTTGGTAACTTAATTTTTCTGGAGTTAATAGCAAGTGAAAATGACGTCGTATTTATTGTGATTGTGATCAATAAAAGAAGGTAGTTGGAGAGCATATTTCACATATCTAATCATCTGTATACCAACGTGACAACTAGACAAGTCGCTTTTGGACCCTCCGTGACAAATTGATATTGGGATGAATTAATAGGATTATTTGATGTGAGTGAAAGTTGAGGTAGACTAATTTGATACTAACTGTTTTTAGTGAAGATTGATTCAATTATTTGATGTGATTGGAGCCGACATGGGGGATACTTCTACTCTTTGATGTTAGTAATTTAACTGTCGAAATTGTTTCAGATCAGATTACATGTCATCCCTAGCTGTCATTTTGTCCCCCTTTTTATTTTTTATTTTTTATTTTTTTACTGAGACATGTTCTTAAGGAAACATAAATTACCCAATTGGTATTTGCTAAGCATATTGGCTACAATTCCAATGGATACAGAGCACAAATGGTATTCAGTTTGTGACAGATCCAAGAAGTGCCAAGTTCATTACAAACTGATGAGATGAAATATACAAGTAGGCTTAATCCAATAAAGCATTTACAATTTTGATCAGCAGGATGGTCTATAACTTTTTCAGTTGAGCTATGAGGAAGCCAGAAAAAAAGTGCTGCAGAAAAAATTATTCAATTTTAGTTGTGACAGGGGATTGCAGTCGGCTTCTACTGGGGTGACTTAGAAATTCACTATGGGAGCTTGTTGATGGTGTGACCAAGCTTGTCCCCTGCTGATGCTGCTTCTGTTCAAAGGGAGTCTCTATCAGACAGAGTTGTCTAGCCAGTTGACCAACGGCTCTAAACTATATTTTACTACTCCATCATTGTTTTGGTTCTTTAACCCGTGTATTGTTACATATGTATATGATGCAGGCAGAACTTCAGAATATCCCACACACACATTTACACATGCATATATCTATACATACATATAAATATATATAAACTAGCCTCTAGTTTCTTCATTTGAAGTGAAATTTTATTGTTAATCATTGGCTACTCTGTGCAATATAATTTGGACTATAAAGTTTGTATTGAAGTTAGCCTTTCCAAACCCTGTTACTGCCCTTTTCACCCCATGTCCCAATTATGGAAGTTGTCACCTGGTCATAAAATCAGTGATCAATTATAAAGATCAAGAGCAATAAAAAAATGTCTCCTACAGTAACAAATTGCACTGTTATATGCATTTATACAAGTTAAGCTCTGTTAAAGCAACAAGCAAATTTTCCCTTCTTAACACTTTTTTGAGCCTACTGAATCACAATTCCTGTTGCATATAAATCACTATACGAGGCAAGATAACGACAAGGGCGGAGTTCAGACGAAACCATGCTTGTCATGCTAATTGCCTAGGGATATTCAATAATGTGTATAAAATTACTAGTTATGCTAAAAGCATATTCCAATCATATTCAGAAATTCATTTGGAACATCAACTATGACATTCTCATTCTGATAAAACTGTGTTTAACACCTAAAATAATTTCCGTCTTTCAAAGAAACCAATTTAAGAACTTTTCTGTTTGCGGAGTTATTACAAGTTTTGCAGGCAAATATTCACATTCAATAGCTCCCTTATATAACCACTTCCTGAGTTATGACTTTACCAATAAGATTTTGATAGGTCACAACCCAAATGGACAACAGCTAAGAGAGACAACAGAAATCTCAAAGCAATGCTGGAAGAATAATGTGGGGCTAAGGGACTGTTCAGCCACTCACTTAGCATGTTGAGCAAGAAAAAGAATAGGACACTGAATTTCAATTCAATAGATAATTGAATCCTAGCAGGCAATGGTATTTAAGGAAACAAGTCTGCCAGCTCTCCTCTCATTAATGAAGTGATGCTGACAGGGAACTATGATTTTATAAATTAATTCATATAGATGGAAAGTGTACAAAAACCAAGGATCCAAGAGGCAAGACCTCCAAAACAACTACCCAAGTAACAACAATAACTAACCCAATTGATATATTAAACTACCAGCCAAGCAAACAACCAAAGAAAACACCAAGCAAATCTAAACCAATTATAGAAACTAAGCTAGAACCAAAACAAAAGGCAACAAGAAACATCAGCCAACAGAATACATCAGCCAAATCCAATTTGCAGATCAGCAGGGCAGAGCAGAACCACAACTCCACAAGAAGTAAATCTGCAAAATGAGGAGGAATCTAAATTGTTAACAAAACCTTGTGGATGTTGATATTGGAGGGGTACACTCGGGATGAGCTTGCCAGGTACGGGGTACCTTGCTAGATATAGAAAACATGGCAAGAAGGTTTACCTTACTGCGGCCCCTCAATGCCCATTACCTCATGTTTGTATTGGAGGCACCCTTAAGATGTGTTTTTTAATAAGTTTGGGTCCAATTATAGACCACCCTCCTTGCTAGTACTCCACCAGCAATCTTGACAATCTCAAAGATGCATGGAAGCAATGGACTTCTGCTATTCCAGCTACCAAACTTTTCCTGGGACTACCTGCTGCTCCTTATGCAGCTAGAACTGGCTTCATTCCGTGGCCGATCCCACTTCGAAGTGTTTCCAGCCATTAAGGGCTCTGCCAAGTATGCAGGGTTATGCTATGTTCCAATCAAACTGGTGAAAGTTCTTCCGTCAAAAGCCATGTCTAAAATGTGCTCCATGTGATAAAAGTCTAAGCTACAGAGCTTCTATACCTTCCACATGTATTCTTTTTCCCAAAAGCAATGTCTAAAATTTGCTCCGTGTGATAAAAGTCTAAGCTACAGAGCTTCTATACCTTCCACGTGTATTTTCTTTCAATAAAGTAGTACATATTGTTGGCTTGTACAAATTTTAGCTAATATTAATACCATATTTAATAAAAAGCAGTGAGTACTTTAAAAGGGGTATGGCTAAATTAAGGGCCTCTGCTCTCTGGAACCTCAAAAGTGCTTCCAGCCGTTGGGCTTCCAAAAAGAATGGAGATGTGACTTCATGATCCATGTACGATAATGTCATTGATTATAGCATTTCCAACAAGGCCATGCTTATAATCTGAATCACAATTTACAGCTGCAGGCAGAGGAATTTAGAGCTGCAGTATAACAAATCCATCCATATGCAATGCATTCTTATCTCTGTGCTTTTGTGTGTGTGCAGACACATAACTACTCAAGCGATTAGCTCCATGCATACAAAATTCATTCACATATACGATGAAGATAAATGACAGATGTTGATCATCTCCCTCCCTTGTCTCATCATATCTCTTTTAATTTAGTAAAAAAATGATATATACTCTAATTTTTCCCCAACGATATATAAACAAATCCTTGTGAAACTATGCACCTCAATTCATCAACTAGGAAAGATTTGCCTGAAGATTAACATATATACTCAAGTCCAAGAAGAATGAAATATTATTTATCATGTAGTTAACCCCTGTGCACTAGCTCATGTCAAAGATATAAATAAACATATCCCGATCAGATATTGAATCAGAGGCAGATTGTGAAATATAACAACAGATTGCAACAAAAAAAAGGCCACTATGGAATAACAACTACATACCAAGTGTCCTGACCAAATGAAACAAACTAAATGACCCCCATAAAATATGGTGGTCTCAAACAAAGGCAAAAGTGACATCTTACCAGGCCATATCAAGACCTTATCCATGAGTATTAAAAGCTTCCCAGAGCAAATTCTTCGGAGGTTTGGTGAGATCATCAGCCTGCAGGGCCGCAGCCCTAAGAGTCTGGATTGTCCTCACATTGGCCTCAAAGAAGGAAAAACTCCTGTAAGGCAAATTGTGCTTCTTGCAAAGTTCCCTTACAATAGGAGAGACCTTTCTCAGATGGCATCGGGGCAATCGGGGGAACAAATGGTGCTCTAGCTGGAATTGCAACCCACCATGGAACCAATCCATCCATCTCGAGCATGAGATGTCAATTGTCCCACCCGTCTGTTTCTCAAACCAGTCGGTCCCCTTAGGCGATCCAACATAAACATCAGCAGAAAAATGGTTCAAAGTAAATTGAATATGTTGAATTGAGGTAACCGCAAAGCTCGCCAGCACGAACAACACCCTCTCCGTCCAATTGGGTAGGCACATAACAAGAAGAGGAAACCAAGTCCAAAACACAAGGATTCCACATATGTTCAAAGCTCTGTCAGGCACCTTCCTCTTGGAGAACAACAACAAGAAAGTTTGTAGATAAAGATTAAACCTAGAAACAATCATCACCGGATAAAATGTCCAATGCTGATAGCTCACTAGGAACCTAGCCAGTGGATCAAATGTCAACTCCCTACCATAAAAGACAGACGAGATCGAATCAAAGAATTTTGTAGACACCGCGAAAACAGGCAGGTGTTGAAGATCAGGGTCATAATCAAGACTATTGCAAGAGATGTGGTGGGCATTATGTGTCCACTTCCACCAAGCAATGCTGATTCCGGTAAGGCAATTCCCAGTAAGGATTTGTGCAAATCTATTACATCTACTGTTAATCATTACTTGATAATGCCCAGAATCATGACCCACATAAGTAACTTGAATCCATGAAAAACCCAACAACCCACCACAGATCATATGAACCCAGAAGCTATTTGAACACAATATACCATAAACAGTTGCAGCAAGCATCAAAGCAACAAAGCAAAACGAATAGATCACACCATGTCCTTTCTTTTCAAACATACCAGATTTGGCAAACTCAGAAGCAAGTCTTCTGTAATCTTTGGACACCTCAGAGACCACAAAATCACTCAAATGATACCCAGTAAAGAACTTGTCAAGATATTGCCATGCCGTACCTGGATGGAAAGCAATGAACGCATCAGTCACGTCCTGCCCAGCCAGATTCAGGAGAGGAATATCCCCACCCGGATGCTCTTTCGCCCAATCCGTCACGTTGTAGACCTTGCTCTGGATTGAGATCCACAAATCACCAGCTTTGTTGTGCTCTTTCAGCTCTTCAATTGAAATGTACTTTCTCTCTTCACCCACCATTGTCAAAAACAAATATCACACACACACCCACAATATATATATATATATATATATATATATATATATATATATGTATGTATTTTCAAATAAATCAAACCAAAGTATCAAAGCCAAACCAAAACTTATGAATCAAATCAAATTACCCACAAAGAGATAGATATTGTTGGGGGTGATTCTGATGAAAGCAAGAGAACTTAAAATAAGTTGTAAGAGAGAGAGGAGAGAGAGCGGCTTGATGTGAAAACACCATGTGTTGTTGGCGTGTATATATATAATCCAGAAGTTTTGAAGTTGTGTTGACAGCGAATCGGCTACACGTTTTTAGAGAACAGCCGTTTGTGGACTGGGCTAAGAAACACCAGGATGGACTGGGCTAAGAAACACCAGGGTGAACTAGAGTCACTTGCGGTTGACTGTCTTTGAAACCTTGTAAATTACTGTCCAAACATGACAAGATAACGGTGTAGAAAAGGGTAATCTTGTAAATTACTGTCCCAACGCGAAGATGGTACGAACGAATGAAGAGGGTAGTCTGGGCACAATCACATGTGAGTCACTTGGTTGATAGGCAGATATTAACGGCGGTGATGAAGATCCAACACAGGTGATATAGAAATATCGACGCGCAAATTGTGTAGCTATCTGCTCTTAAAAGTCATTATAACATCGGCTACATATTTTAGGAACAAGTGGCGAAGGTGTTCGTTCTTTAAAACGAGTTTTCTTGACTTTAATGTCGTCTTTTGGTGGTCTATTACGGAGATTAACGTACGATCCAATCCGGAGATTGGGTGTGTCATCGGAATTTTATCCAACGGTGCACAACAATACTTACCAAAGTTGATCGTGACTCATGCAACACTTCTAGACGGACGACCGACTGAAAACGAAGTCTTAACCCCATTAACCAAAAATAGAAAAAAAAAAAGTCTACCTCGTGGTGGGTCGATCAATCCCTCTATCTCCATTGTTTTTCTGTTATTATTTGTCAAAATAAAAAAATAAAAATACTATCTCTGTCCCAAAAAAATAAAAAAGGTGTATAAAAGAGGTAATTTTTGCACCGAATAATGGTACTAGATTGCTAAATTTATCTTTTTAATTTGTTAATTATACAATAAATAAGAAAATAGAACCCTTTACTTATATTTAGTATAAATAACTAATTTTTAATTCAGTACAAGTGTTCCGTGTAAATATCAGTTCTTTATATTTATTCGTAACTTATTAAAATGACAAAAGTATCAAAAATAGAAAAATAATTTTTTTTTTTTTTCTCTCTTTAACTTTTTCTCGTACAGTGGTATAAAGATATTTTTTTTTCATGATTACTTTCTCCTCTGTGTAAAGATTTTCATTTGCATGACTACTTTTTCATTGGTTTGCCTTTCTTTTCGGTTCAACCAAACAACTTGATAAAAAGAATGCGTGCTAGACCGTCAAAAGTTTAGAAAAAAAATAACTTATCTAGTCTTTTATCAAATGGTATAATGGATGTAGATTTTTTTCGCTTTGACATAGTAAATTAAGAGAGATTTCATTTTTAGCTATTGTACATTTATTCAAAGTTGGTTAAAAAAGGACTAAAGTATTGACAATTTTATTTTTTCACTCGTGTGTAAAGATTTCTTTTTTTGCTTAATACCTGCATAATTTGCATTAGTTGGTTATTTGGTTTTCATTCAATCAAACAAATATTCTAGTCCGTAAAAAAAATACTTATGTTATATATAATGTTTTTTTTAAATGAAATAATGAATGTTATTAGGAGATTTCGTCTCCTAAATGGAGAAATTCATAAGAGATTTCGCTTAGTTATTGCACAATTATTTAAAGTTGGTTAAAAAGTGAGTAAAATAATCAACTGTAGATTAGAAAAGAATAATAATTCATATAATCAACTTGCATAAATTAACCCAAATTAACTTCGAATCAAGATTCAAGACGGTTGATTTATATCTTTACAAAAATCACATAAAAATTTTTTTATCTTTTTATTTTTTACTTTTTTTACTCTTGTAGGGCGGCTATATTATGTAGGAATGAAGAGGTGTAGAGAAAATATAGAAAGAAATGAAACTTCGTTTGTTCGTTAGAGATGATATAGAGAAATAAAGAAGAATATAAATTTTGACTCATCATTCCACCTTTACAAATTTTTATCTCCAAAATGGTCGGAAGAAAAGGTGATAGACAAGTAAACTATTATATAAATTTTAAATTAAATACTATCCTAAATTATACAAGTTTTACAATATTATCCTTTATAAATTATAATATAATAAATATTATTAAATATAATGGTAAAAATAATTAAAACTTTCTCTTTTCTTCTCTATCAACAACAAACATGGTAAATTATGATTTTATTCTCTTCTTTTTTATCCAACCAAACAAAAAGAAGAAATATACATCTCTAGGGATGTCTCATCCATCCATTTTTCTGTCCCTTCCATCCAATTTTTTTATTTCCTACCAAACAGAGTAAATAGAAGAAGAGACTTCATATCTCATTAATTATATATTTAATTAAATTAAGTAATTATGCTTAGTGTATTATATAAATTACCAAATAAATACATCTACTCTTGCATTGGTTAATACAAATTTCTTTAATATTAGTTTTTTATTAATATATATTAATGAATTATTTATGCCTGGTAATAAATATTAGTCAATACAAGTTTTTTTATGTCAGTGTTATATATATATATATATATATATATTAATAAATTATTTATGCTTTGTGTATTACATTAAATACCAAATAAATACAACTGTTAATATAAGTTTCTTTTAATTACCTCAGTTTTTTTCTCTCAACTGTTAATATTTGTTAAAATTTTGTACTTTGTAATTCTTCGACTCTCTTTCACTTAGATTTTCAGCAAAATTAAATAACTATTTATTAAATTAAAAAACTTATAAAGTGTTTTTTATATTTCCTTGAGCTTATTTAGAGAATTTGGGATTGGAAACAAAAATCTGTGTTTTTTTTCTTCCTTTCCCTTTTTGTTTGATTGCCTTTTTTTTTTTTTATTGCTTTGTTTGCTTTCATATTGGGAAATTGATACCAAGTTTGATATACAAGGTGGATGCATGGAGGCCAACTTTGGAGAGAGATACATAGAAACACCTAGTTTGCTATGTTGGGAAAGGAACAATTAATTTACTTGGTGGGATGCACAGACCAGTACCAAATTCACTATGGACCGAAACCAAATTTCAATGGTGGGAATGACATACTGTTGTTATAGTACATAAGATGGATTGGCATAGATTCAGAGAATTTTGCAGAGGCCTGGTTAAGACCAACAGAGTATTGGGGAGTTTTTTTAAGTATAGTTAATTTCGGGAAAAATGATCCTAAAAATATTGTTGATCCGAAAGGACGCTGCTCTTGTAATTTGATATGTGGTACTCTTTATAGGAGGGTATCTCTATAATTGAGAATGTATAAACTACTCTAGGTATTTTGACACGTGATACTCTTTTAATAAAAGCTCTTTATTTTCTTTTATAATAGAGGAGAGGGAGAGTTTTAAAAAGAAATGAAGAGTTTTCATTAAAAAGGGTATCACATGTCAAGTACCGGGATATGATATACTTTCTCGAATCGAGATACTTACTTGAACTTAGTCCGCTAAAGTTTTAATTAGTATATCTAGCTGGAATTTTGCGAGCTATGCTGTTCTTGTGCCCAAACATGCAGGTAGAATGACTATTCTAATTGTTAGGTTTGGTATTCTAATTTGATTTAATCAACTCATTTCCCACATCTTCATATGTTAGTATAGAAAGGCCTTAAATGCCCTGTTTTGGAGTAGTCTATTATTTTAATTATTTATTTTAATTGTTTGTGCATAATAAGCATCTAGTATAACTGTCATGGGTGTAAATGACAAACGTTAAATGTAATTCCCAATGCTGTGCCTTTTGTCCGTTCTTTAATTAGAAACCTGCTTTGGAAGATACTGTACTATAATAGGATTATTTTGGTTATTTTTAATGTAAAGTTGATTTTTCTGCTCTTAGTTTTTATTTCCTTTTTTGGGGTCTGTATACTTTGTGTTTTGATGATTTAAATAAGAAGAAACCTGCTATGTACACACAAAAAAACATAGCAGAGATCTTATTATATAACTTCAATTGGCACCTGAGCTGGATAAAAATATCTAATATCTTCCTTTCAGTTTGAATTATGCAAATGTACTTCTAAATGTATTCAAATTAGATTACCTCATTCACCAACAAGTAAAATAGTAACAATAATTGAAATGGTCTTCAAAAAATGAATATTAAATGAATGGTGTATATTGATGTACATATATATATAATGTGTAGGGTAAGGAGTTTCAAGTTGTATATGTATATAAATGTGTGGGGTATGGATCTTCAAGTTAAGTCTGAATTAATCCAGATCATAATTGCATCTTCAGCCCCTACTAAAATGGATAATTGCTCCATGCCACCAAGATATCAATTAAGAAGCAACTGATTAATCAAGCAATTAATGACAATTCTATGAGTTGGTTGATGCTAAGATTTAGCATTGTCCAAAAGCCCATTTGATCATATGCCTGCAAATTATTAGGGGTGAATAGGTGAATTTTATTTTTATTTTTATTTTTGGTGTGTGAGTTTCTTGCATGGTAAAAAAAATTAAAAATAATAATCAAACAAGGTTGTAATAATTTGCCTAAGCACTATGTAATGTAAAATATATGGTAGGGTCATGTCCTAATTTCATATATGCTAAAAGTGATTGATGTTTGCTCTGCTCAGGCTTGTATTCTGTAATTAGGCAAGAGAACTTCACAAGCTCACAAGCTCATAAATTTATATAGGTTGACTGCATATGTCATAAATTTATAGATGAAATAAATACACATAAAATAGATAGTGACATTACATGAGGTATGTGTTGTACACACACAATAATGCAATGACTAAATAAAGTTTCTAGACATGGCTTTTAATGGAGGAACTATATCCTGTTTGGTCATCATAGTATTTAGACCACAGCATCACACCTCCATACTTGGAAGAACCTTTAATGGCTGGAAGCACTTTAGAAGTGAGGTCTCCTACCGGAATGAATCCACTTCCAGCTGCCTCGGGAGCTGCAGGCAGTCCTAAGAAAATTTTCGTGGCCGGAATATCAGAAGTCCATTGCTTCCAGGCATCCTCAAGATTACCAATACTTCCTGAACTGTATTGGCAGGGAGGATTGTTATAGAATTGAACCCAAACATAGTCGAAAAGTCCTGTCTTAAGGGCTCCTCCAACCCAAGCATCCGGGAAGGGACACTGAGGAGCTGCAGTCAAGTACACCTTCTTACCCTTTTTAGAATATCCTGAAAGGAACCTTGCAAGGTCATCCCAATGTTGGTTGGTTCCTCCCTCAATGTCAAAGTCTATTCCATCCAAAACAGCTGCACCTAGTGGGCGAGAGGACGAATGTCCTCCCAAGAAGTTGTTCCAAAGGTAAGTGGCAACTTGCCTAGCATCCGCGGAGGAAGTGAGGTAGTAGCTCCCGGCCCCTCCCCCAATGGACAGCATTACCTTGATGCCTTTTGCTTGGCATGATTTAATGTCCGAACTCAGACTAGTGCAGCCATTGCTGTAGGGATCACAGTGACCGGCAAGGTTGATCATTGGAGTCTGTCCATTGCCAAATGTTGGAAGGAATGCAAGATTGACAAATTCATAGTTGCCAGTGGCACAAGTCTCGGCCAAGGTGCCCTCATTTCCATTCTGACCCCAGTAGATAGCAATTCCACCGGCATTTGAACCTACCACTAGTATTAGCATTACTGAAAGTAGGAATGCTAGTGAAATAGCAGATTTAAATGCCATTTTGCTGACAATTGGTATAGAATTCACTCAAGCTTTGTTGATCTTGTTACCATCAGTGCTAGATTATTTGCTTTTTATAGGAGAGGGCAATCCTGCTATGATGTTTACATGTTTTTGTTTATCCTAATTTGGTGCGTAGCTTAAAATTAATTCCAGTTTTTTAGATTTAAATCTCAATCATAAGTGGTATTGCGTATACGGGGTGTGGAAAGATTATTATTTTTTTAATATATATATTATTGCTATTGGCTCTTTTCTAGTTGTATATTGACCTCTATCTATTTATGACATGCACTCAGGATATGGTTAACATCATGAAAGTGGATGTTTAGAGCTAAAACAGTCCCTATCACTGCTGTCTTTAGTATGTGTTCTTATATACAGTGGGTCAATGCATGTTTTAAATAGGTTTCTGTAGATACATTTCATTTATATAAGAGATATATTCTGTCTCTTCTTGTTGTACACAACCATTTATGCCAAAAGCTTAAAACCATTGGGAAACATATAATGAGCCAACAAGTGCATATAAAATTAAGCTATCATGACCTCTAGCACATGTCAGACAAATAGAACAGAGTGTAAATGTAAAGAAAGACACTTGAACCATGACAAAATTAAGGCTCTGAGACAATACAATGTTAATCAACAACTTGCACAAAAGCTTAACCTAGTTAAGAATTTGCCAAAACAGCGTATATCTAGCTCTCTCCAATTTCATTTCTACTAATCTTTTACACCTTGTAGTCATTAAACAAGGTAAATTTTTCACCTTTTTCTGTGCATAAATTTAGTTATAAAAAAAAATGGTGCATAGATTTAGTAAAAATAAAAATAAAAGAAAGAAAGAAAGAAAGAAAGAAAGAAAGAAAATCAAAATGCTTGGTTATTGACAGAGATGGAGGAGGAAAGGTGAAACTAACAAAATCAAATTTAAAGATGCATGATGAAATTTGTTTTAAAAGCCCTTTCATTTTCTTTTATAATTAGGCAAGCTTCATAGCTCTAGCATAATAATATGCTTCAATGTCAACCAAAAAAAAAAAAAAAAAGAAAGAAAGAAAAAAATACTTGCTGAAGTAAAACACAAAAATGTGATATTAAATCTGAGTTAATCTGTAAGATTGCCAAGAATACATGAGCAAAAGAGAAAATTTTGCAATGAGGTCATATAGAGATTTGAGAGTGCTCTCTTATTCTCCTAATTAACGACCATGTGGAAAAGAATATTTGGAATGTTTTTCAAATAAGATGACAGTCCTATTTCTTTTAGCCCTATCTGTAATATGTTAACTACAATGCAACTTGTTGGCATAGCATGTTAGGGATAAACTAATGCAAGACTGGTCAACTTTATCTAGGATAGAATAAAATTTGATCTTGTTGCCCATTTGAAGAGATATCCAATAAAGAGTGGTTCAGAAATTATACAAGGCCATGGTAAAATTTGATCTTGCCATGAAATGTTTTCCATGTGATTCCAAATATTATTTTCTTTACCTCTGTCACTTTGGCTGCCAGAACGTAAAAGGAGCACAATAGTACAACTAATCTTTTTCAGAAGCACAAACTTAAATTTCTTCAAATAACTAGTATTTTGGTGGTCTTGAACATGTATAAGATGAGCTGATCTTGGTTCTCTGATTTAGGTAAAGGCTCCATTAAAATTCCTTGGAAACTTAGTTTGGAGTTGACGGTCTGAGTTCAGAGCCTTTCAAATAATTCACAAAAACAATTACTACTCGATTTTAGTACCAACGAAGATCTAGAACTTTGAAGACAATTATGTGCCACGTCCCACGTGCTTGGAATTATATCTACCATAAACCAAAAGAAAATTTTGTGAGTTGGATTTGAGGCCATGGAATTTATCTTTACTTATAAATCTCTAGAATACATTTTGATTATTAGATGAAACCAACCACTCATAACTAACCAATGCTTTTATGCTATTTTTTAGATTTGGCAATAGCTCTCTTTAGACTTCAAACTTTTGCTCTTTCATTGCTATATGTTAGATTTAATGGATTGCTCTTGCTTGGGAGTTTTCATCCTTTTCAGTGAGTTTTCATCGATAGATGTTACATTTAAACATATTTTCTCAATCTTGATGGTTATTAGCATTGGATTTCTGGAAAACAGGAGCAATGGGGGGACATGTAGCAATAATTCAAATAGTTCCACATAAGATTATGTAAGTGTTTTCCAAGCAGAGTTTACATACATATATACGTATACAAATATTATGACAAATAATTTATTCCCAAGCAGCTAATAGAGAATGGTTTTAGACTTTCAGACATCACTCTTAATGGAAGAACTGTATCCTGTTTGATCATCATAAAATTTGGACCACAGCATGACTCCTCCATACTTGGCAGAACTCTTGATTGCAGGAAGCACTTGTGAAGTAAGATCATCGACAGGAATGAAGCCACTTCCCGCTGCATCAGGAGCTGCAGGTAGGCCTAAAAAGATCTTGGTGGCTGGGATATCAGAAGTCCACTGGTTCCATGCACTTTCAAGGTTACTTACATCAGCAGAACTGTACTGGCAAGGAGGGTTGTTAAAGAATTGTACCCAAACATAGTCAAAAAGACCCGTCTTAAGGGCAGCTCCCACCCATGCATCAGGAAAAGGGCACTGAGGGGCTGCTGTTAAGTATACCTTCTTACCCTGATTGCTATATGCAGAAAGAAACCTCGCTAAATCGTCCCAGTGTTGATCCGTTCCTAGTTCAATATCAAAGTCAATTCCATCCAAAACAGCATCACCAAGAGGGCGCGAAGATGCTTGTCCCCCCAAGAAGTTGTCCCAAAGGTAAGTTGCGACTTGCCTAGCATCTTCAGCAGAGGTAAGAGAGTAGCTCCCGGCCCCTCCTCCAATAGAAAGTATCACTTTTACTCCTTCTGCTTGACATGATTTTATATCGGAACTCAATCCAATGCAGCCATTACTGGATGGATCGCAATGACCAGCAAGGTTGATCACCGGAGTCTGACCATTGCCAAAAGTTGCCAGAAAAGCCAGGTTCACGAAATCATAATTCCCGGTGGCACAAGTCTCTGCTAATGTGCCTTCATTTCCATTTTGACCCCAATAGATAGCAATTCCACCAGCATTACAACCTCTAAAAAGCATCAACATTACCAAAGATAGCAATGACATGAGTATTGCAGATAGATTAGCCATTGTAATGCAGGCTTGCTAGGTGTTGATACACTCACTTGAATATAATTGTTACAGATGTGCTAAGACTGCCATAGAGGCATACTTTTATAGGAGATGGGTATGCCTACTCTAACTACTACTATTTTGTGCGTATGCTTAAAAGGGTGACTTAGCTTCAATGCAGTTATAACTCAGTGTCTCAAAATTTTAATCAATGGTGTTCTCTTTAAGCAGACGGCAGGTTAGGACTTACAAAATGGAATCATTGTCATTTAGTTTCTGTCCACTGGACCTAAACTTTGTTTCTACACACCCTCTCTATGATAGATGATAGGTTTTGAACAAGTCAATTCCTTCCAAACTGTTTTGCTTAGGGTTTCTACCAACCCTTAAGAGTTCAAAAGCTTCTTATGATAGATGATAGGTTTTGAACAATTCAATTCCATCCAAACTGTTTTGCTTAGGGTTTCTACCAACCCTTAGAGTTCAAAAGCTTCTTCTAATAGCTGATAGGTTTTGAGCCACATTCCATAAACTCCTATGTTACTACTAAATTTCTTTAGTTCAGGATTTTGAGTGCAAAAATGCAAAATTTTGGACAGACTATAAAAGGGTAAATTTTAGACACACAATTTTCAAAAAAGGTCTCTTGTTTTGAAATCAAGTATTGTATTAGAGGGTCTCTTGTTTTGGAGTGATTGGAACCATACAAGACATGTCATTTTGTATGAAAATTCTATATAAATTTATTATATGGGCAAACTCAGTGCATGAAAAAGTTTGCGTAACTAATATTTTTTTCGGAAGCACAAACTTTAATTTTTTCTACCAACTAGTATTTTGGTGGTCTTAAATATATTTAAGATGAGCTGATCTCTTCTCTGATTTAGGTAGAGACTCCATTATAATTCCATGGAAACTTTGTTTGGGGTTGACCGTCAGAGTTCATATCCTTACACTTAATTCACAAGAACATTTACTAATTGATTTTTGTACCAATGAGATGTTGAACTTTCAAGACAATTCTGTGCCACATGCTTGGAATTATATCTGCTTTACAAAATTATTGGATACAGTTTGATTACTAGATGAAACCAACCATTCATAACTAATCCATGCTTTTATGCTATTTCTTAAATTTCGCAATAGGTTAGATTTAAATGCACCATGCTTTGATGAACAGGGCTTGATAACGGGAAAGCTCTCCTTAGACTTAAACTTGGATCATTGGAAACTTTTGCTCTTTCATCGCTATATGTGAGATTAATGGATTGCTCTTGCTTAAGAGTTTTCATCCTTTTCAGTGGTTACCCTATAATTCTGAGATCCTCATGAGACGGCAAGTCTGCTTATCTTTTTTATCCATCTTGATGGTTATTAGCATTGCATTTTTGGAAAACAGAAAAAATGGAGACATGTAGAAATAATACAAAAACTTCAACATAAGTTTATAGGGAACTGTTATACAAGTAGAGAGTTTAAGTACATCTATAAGTACAGAAATCATACGACAAAAAATTTATTCGCAAGCAGCTAATAGAGAATGGTTTAGACTTTCAAACATCACTCTTAATAGAAGAACTGTATCCCGTTTGATCATCATAAAATTTTGACCACAGCATCACTCCTCCATACTTGTCGGAAGCCTTGATTGCAGGAAGCACTTGTGAAGTGAGATCATTCGTAGGAATGAAGCCACTTCCCGCTGCCTCAGGAGCTGCAGGTAGGCCTAAAAAGATCTTGGTGGCTGGGATATCAGAAGTCCACTGGTTCCATGCACTTTGAAGGTCACTAGCATCACCAGAACTGTACTGGCAAGGAGGGTTGTTATAGAATTGTACCCAAACATAGTCAAAAAGACCTGTCTTAAGGGCACCTCCCACCAATGCATCAGGAAAAGGGCACTGAGGGGCTGCTGTTAAGTACACTTTCTTGCCCTTATAACTATATGCAGAAAGAAACCTCGCTAAATCATCCCAGTGTTGATCCGTTCCTAATTCAATATCAAAGTCAATTCCATCCAAAACAGCATCACCAAGAGGCCGCGAAGATGCTTTTCCCCCCAAGAAGTTGTCCCAAAGGTAAGTCGCGACTTGCCAAGCATCATCAGCAGAGGTAAGAGAGTAGCTCCCGGCTCCTCCTCCAATAGAAAGGATCACTTTTACTCCTTTTGCTTGACATGATTTGATATCAGAACTCAATCCGATGCAGCCATTGCTGGAGGGATTGCAATGACCAGCAAGGTTGATCAGCGGAGCCTGACCATCGCCAAAAGTTGCCAGAAAAGCAATGTTCACATATTCATAATTCCCGGTGGCGCAAGTCTTTGCTAGTGTGCCTTCGTTTCCATCTTGACCCCAATAAATAGCAATTTCACCGGCATTGCAACCCCTCGAAAGCATCAACATTACTAAAGATAGCAATGATATGGATATTGCAGATAGATTAGCCATTCTAATGCAGGCTAGCTAGGTGCTTATACACTTAAAAACTATGGTTTTTTCTGTGCTGAGAGTACTGCTATGGAGGCATGCTTTTATAAGAGAAATGGTGTCCCTACTCTAACTACTAGTATTTTGTGCTTATGCTTAAAAGTGTGGCTTAGCTTCAATGGAATTATGTCTCAGGATTTTTATCAATGGTGTTTTCTTTGAGTAGACGGCAGAACTTACAAAATGGAATCATTGTCTCTTAGTTTATGTCCACCGAACCTAAACTCTTGACAATAGAATCCTAGGTTTTGAACAAGTCAATTCCATCCGAACTGTTTTGCTTAAGGTTGCTAGTTTGCTACCAAACCTTAAGAGTTGAAAAGCTTCTTTTGATGGGTGATAGGTTTTGAACACATCAAAACAGTTTTGGTTAGGGTTGTTATCAACCCTAAGAGTTCAAAAGCTTCTTCAGATAGATGGTAGGTTTTGAACCCATTCCATAAAACTCCTATGTTACTACTAAAATGATTCATTTCAGAATTTTGAGTGCAAAAATGCAAAATTTTGGAAAGATTATAGAAGGGTAATAAATTGTAGGCACAACATTTTTATAAGGTTTTTTGTTTTGAAATCAAGTATCAATTAAAGGTCCTCTTATTTTGAACTGATTGGAACACTACGAGACATGTCATTATTAACAAAAATTCTATATAAATTTATTATATGGGCCAATTGTATGAGATTCTTGCAATTGCGGATTTGGAGGTGATCAAATGTGGGCACTCCAAAATAGGTTGTTTCCTTGTTTGGAATTGGTCACAGAACAATAAATAAATAAATAAAATTGGAAAACGGCGTCGTCTCTAGAACGGCTAATATTGCTATTTGCTACCCAGTTACAGATCAAGCTTCTTTGCTTTCTCTGATCACGATCGAACGAAGACCTCTACTCAACTGTGCTTAATTCAAATGAGTGGCTTTGTCTAGGGAAAAAATCTTATTTTTCTTTTCTTGTAATCCATTTTCCGAGCAGCCAAACAGAGGATCAGTTCTTTCTTTGTTCTATTACCGGTTTTTCGTTTTAGTTCCCAATTAATTTGCCCAGGTTAAAGTTCAACGCTTTTTACGCCCTTTTCTTCGTATTGCTTTTTGCTGTTTATCACTGTTTGGTTGCTGAGAAAAAAAAATGTTAGGAGTGAATTTACAGTTCGAAACTTGAATGTTATTAGGGAGTGAATTTGGATTTCGAAAAGAAGGAAAAAGAATTTCTCGCAGACGAAGCAAACTGACATGTATTTGGCTGTGAATCCCAAGTTTAAATCTAAAGGATTCAAGAATACAAAGGCTCTTCATTTCAAAAAAAAATTCTTCCCAAAACTAATAATATATAATTACCAAAACAAAAATTTCATCGGCAATGAAATAGGGTATTGATTTACAAGGAAAAAAAATATAGGGTATTGATTAGAATTGTTTTATGTGCTATTTGGATTTAGAATAGGACATCAGACTCAATTCTAGGGTTAACTGTTTTTATTATTTAATTTTATTGTTCAAAGTGTGACTTCTTACCAACGAGTCATTAGTCCAATGGTACAACCTCTCCTCAGAGTTCAAGGCTTCATTTTGTGAAATGTGCGTGTAAAAGTGTGATTTCTTACTTTTCTCACATTATCTAGATTCAGATTGTTTTCTATTTCACAGTCATGGAAAGTTTTAAAAATAAAAGGTCTTCTTCAGACTCCCTCATGTCCAGCTTTATGCAAGCCATCTAAAGACTTTCTGGAGTGTTGAATTGGATCAATCAAGCATTGTGTAGAAGGATTCAAGCAAATGCCATTGTGAGGTAATATGTTCTTGAATTCAGTCTTACTTTGCATATTATAACATAGATTCCTAAATTAACCTGTTGTTGCTCAATGGTATCGAAAACATGTTGGACAAGTACATTTATCTGGAAAATGTCGTTCTTTTGATGATATAGAATATTGTAAGACCTGGGGGAAAAAAACTTTTAAAAAGGTAGAGATTTATGCAATTAAAACAAATACTAAGATTTTGTTATTTCATTAAAGTTCTTTGTCTCAAGATTTTCGTAAATAAAAAATCTAGACTATTGTGCCAGTGCCATGTTTTCCAGTGCTCCCGGACTGTTAGCTTGAACCTTACTAGGAATGATGTTTATAGGTTTTTGAGTTTCAGGTCATTATAAGGAAATAATAAAGTAATTCCTTTATTTATGATGGTGCAGTTTGGGGCTTATTTGGCAATGGTGAGTTAAAACATTGATTTTATTATAAACTTTGATGTCTTTTGGAGAGCTAGATTTAGACATTAGTTCATTTATGCATCAAGATTACTCCATTTTATTATTGCTCACAAGTTATGCAGAAAGAAAAGAAAAATTGGAATCTTTGAAAGTATGAAACTGTTACTCCAACCTCAACCAGTAATTGTGCCATTCATATGGAGCATCAAGTATGTCCATCCTATGCTGCCGATAAATGAATCTGAAATTGGATTGCATTTTTTTTCCTATTCTCTTTTAATTCCAAATACGAGAACTTGAGAGCTATATTATTACCTTTGAATTTCTAATCAAACCCCTGAATTTCTAATGACCCGTGGTCACTACCAATCACAACAGTGCCAATGCCATATGTCTATTGTTTATGATCAACGGTGAATTCCTCTGCTGCTGTTCCATTCTGTCTGAGTATTTCTCTTCATGTGGATGTGTATGCATGTTTGGTTTTTGATGAGAGATTTGTAATTCCTTGACAAACACATCTCCTCAATTCTCTCAATTTTTATATTTTGTAATATCAAATGTTAGAAATTTTAGAAAATTCAAAATTGAAATTTTGAATTTTAATCTTTTGACTTGTTATGAACGGTTGTCCAATGCTATATGTGGAAAACAAATCTTTATCTATTGTATTTGTACTACCCCACCTTGGATATTTCTGAAGATGTGATTTCTTTAGATTGCCAGGTAGGTAATAGTGGATTGATGTATGGACGTTTAAGGCTATCCTTACAGTACATGTGGTGAAAAATTAAAAACTTTTAATTCAGTTCAAGGAACTATAGGATTTAGCTCAACACTGTCCTTTGGCTGGTGGTTGATTTTGTCTGGCGTCTTGATTCCAAATATGCCTTTTTCTTTTTCTTTTTCTTTTTCTTTTTGGAGTATAGTGTTTGTAGGTCGTGTATTTGCACATATATAGATTTTATAAGTAAAAAAAATGTATAAACCATATGAAACATCGAATACAATGTAGAGTGCATAGCTTTTTTCGGAACATTTTAGGATCTCAATGACATACAAATCAAGAAACTAGTGAGCGCTCTGTTTGATTATGGTGTATGAAGATTGTACATTGGCATTCAAAATATAGTTCATTCAAGATATATCTTTAAATATGTATTAAATATATATATGTGGTTCAAAACCAAATAACAGGTCATTTTGGGCAATAAAAGAAAACAAACAAGAAGGTGACTGAGACCAGACCAAGGCTAAACAAGGATCAGATGGGAGCATCATGTCCTTGCTAGCAAACTAAGGTATATGCTTAACGACATTCATTTTATTTAAAAGGCATTTTATATCCACTTTTTCTTAATGATGGCCTTAAAATAGCTTTACAGAACCTTGCTGTCACTTTATAACTTCTCATCAAGCCATTGTAGATTGAATTTGTTGTTATTATTTTGATCAAATGCTAGGGTCTTGTGTAATGCTGCTTATTATCAACAGCTGACAGTTTACGTTGTTTGATTTAGATTCTTCAATCAGTTACGATCCATATCTGATTTTTGATGAACAACTTCGCAAACCTCTAGGTGGTACAGAGGAATGCCATTGCCATTCTAGGAAGACGATATAACTGGTGAGTTGGTTTTCCTCTGCTTGTTGTTTGAGATGACTGAAGTATATTATAGTGTCACCTTTGTATTGATTGAAACAAACCTTCAATTCCCTTCTCAATTAATTACATAAGCTTATGGAACTTCTTGCATAACGGTTAGCATGCACAAGTTTGGAATCTTTAGCACCACGGTGTGCTCAAAGCCTCAAACACGCACTCACACACATAATGCATCCAACAGAAGGCTTTAGTTCTAGATTTATGAGAAGAAATAAATTCTTGTGCATGTTCTTGAATGACATTATGATGTCCACTTCTATTTCCGACCAGCTAGGGGACCGCTGTCTGCTTCTTTTGTTCTTTTTCTTTTATATTTTGATAATTAGTTATTTGCATATTCAGTGAAAAGAACAAGACCTTCTCTTGGCAAACCTTATGACGATTCAAACTTGCAACCACTACAGAGTTAGTGGATGTAAAAGCCTGAAATTTCCTTGGATAATTTGTGATTTTTTCTCTATTTCGGTTGTATTCTTTAACTGATGTATTGCATTATAGGACACAAGACATAAAATGCATATGTGCGCTTGTATAATGATTTACACCTGAGACTAAAAAAGCACAAAACATAGTGGGTTCACTTTTCTTGTAAACCTTTTTTTTTTTTTTTAATATGTATATATATAGGAGCTGTAATGCGAACTTATGAGGTCAGTTTTACCAAGTAATGAGGTCACTTTGTCTTCCATGCAAATTTAGAACTTTTACCAAACATTAGGATTTGAGACAGCCCAAACTCTGTTTAGTCAACTAAAATTAGATTTTTTTTTTTAATCTGCTCATTCATTTTAGTGTGAACACTCCTTGGTCCTGCAAATTGAAAATATTATGACTTGCTGACGCTCTCTAGCCGACCTTTAAAATTTAATTAATTGAATTTAAGCCTCTTTGTTTTTCTTATTTGTTTTGTGTTTCATCCCCTGAAGAGAAGATATAGCTGCAATATTATAAGTACGGAATATCACTGTTTGAAGCACGCTTCACAGCTCACTATTTTGTCAAATTGGCCTTTTAATATTGGTATTAAAAAAATTAGATGCTACATTAAAAATATCTTTAACATAGAAAATTTATTTCGGAACCTATTCTTGCACCTCATTCAATTCCTATATAAAATTAATCTATATATTATTTATACTTCTAGAACATCATTTTCAATTTTATATATATCAGTTTTTTTTTTTTTTTTGGGGTGGGTGTTACATTTGTCACTGCTTGACTTGATTGAATGGAAAAACATTGCAGTAATTGATATTCATGATATTATGGTCGTTCTATCTCCTACTCATGTCAGTCCCATTCCACTAGTGACTATATAACCATTTTGTTTTTTCATTTTCTCTCTCAAGTCAACATTTGCTAACCAACCATGGAAACCTCACAACCTCCTGCCATTGAAAGCTTTTCATATAGGTGGTTGATAAACAGAAAAACTTCATTTGATGGCGTAGATAAACTCCTCAGAACATCTGCCAACTGCTACACTGAAGCCACCTCCGAAGAAGCTAAATTTAAGATGACAACATCAAATACATACATCGAAGAAGACCAAAATTTCTACTTTGACATTCCCATCTGTGAGCCTCCTGCAGCTTTGGTCCATGCCGACGAAATTTTCTCTAATGGACACATCATGCCCTCAAATATCAAATCCTTCAGTCCATCAAATTCAGTTCCTACCACACCTTTATCTTCACTTCCTTCGAAACCTGTTACTCAATCCAATATGATCATCCGTTATCATTCCCTCAAAAAGTGGCGAAAATCATCAACGTTAATATTGCAGAAGTATTTTGGATTTCTCAAGCCTTTGTGGAGGAAGCTAGGATCAAGGAAGTGTATTAGAGTTGATGACATTGATAGGAAAGAGTGGGAAGTGAAGAGCTGGAGCAGTACACCACAACCATCTCCACGTCGACTGAGTACATCATATTCTGCTAGTGATTTATGCAATATGGAGAGCAAAAAGTGTGGCATTAGCAATACTGCGAGGGTGTTGATGGAAGTTCAGAGCTGGAGTAATTCACCACAAGCATCTCCACAACAAGGTCCGTCTTGTTCTACAGGTGATTGGTGTGATATCGAGAGCTCAATTTACGAGGCAATTCTCCACTGCAAAAGATCAATTGGTATGTTTATGCTATATTCGTTCTCACAATCGTCTGATTATTAGTGATGAATTTTTTAAAGTTTTATTTTTACCGTTTTCCCCCTCAATTTTCAGAAAAACGAGAGGATGCATCAGAAGAGATCAAGATGATGTGAGCCAGAACCATTTCTATGTCCTTTTGTTCTTTTTCTTTTCACAGTTTTATATGTAAATTTTTGTCTTTTAAAACAAAGATAAGCTACAAAAATCTGAGCTGTGGAGATTCTGATATTAAAATATAAATTTGATTATACTTGTCTTATCTTTTGTAAAGAGAACTCTCTCTCTCTCTTTCTCTCTCTCTCTCTCTGTCCTTTTATTTTATTTAACTTTTCAATTGTGTTTGTTCAAGACCCCTCAATTTGAATGTTGTTCACTTGTTAGTTGTTACCTAAGTTTATCAATATATAAATCAGAAACTTCATAATTTCAAACTGAAAACAGAGGATGAAATGCTTTCTTTTTTTCTTTTCTTTTTTTTGCAGAAATGCTATAGTTTCATACACCCTTTAAGGCTAGGACTCAAAAATTTTTTTTTATTCTCGCTGTTATGTTTGGTGATTGTTAATGAAAGATAAGGACCTTATCGCATTGGTATGATGAAGAAAGAGTTCTTGGCTTGTTGTAGCCTCGCCTGGTGGTAATATTGGACTTTGAAGGGCCCTCACATGGCTCTCATTTTCTCTTTTTGTTCTTTTGTGTGAATTTTTGTGCCATTTTAAGGAGCTACTCACCTTGTTTTGATGCCAGGTCCACAGCTTGAGTAGGACGTGAAATCCCATTTTTTGCTGAAGGACCACGCCATCTGCTCCGACCATTTTATATACTGGAGGTCAGCCGAAGTGACATCTAAACCAATGAATTATTATTTGCAAAACATGGTTGTGAAAGGGATAAACTTGGTGAAGTTTCTTTTATTATTATGATGTAATGTAGCGTTTTTCAACACATTTAAACTCATTTTTAACATGTTTATTCTATGTTTCAACACACTACAACAAGACTTCGTTACAGCAAAGGATCCAGACACGTTGCGTATTATTGTTGTTGGTGCAGTATTCCTTTAATTACTGTTTTTGCTGCTCTTTGTTAAGAAATATTGCTATTGATCGAGATGTGAGAATTCCACAAACAAGAGAAATTCATGTATTATTGAGAAAGGGAGAGAGAGAATCCTGAATTGGTCACAAGTGAACAAGCAAGACAACAGGGGGGACATGGACAACATTTGATAGGAGAAAAAAACATTGTTGATAGGATCACCTCTTTGTTTTTATATACTATGAGTACCACATTAATTTGTGTTTCTATTGTAGCTAAGAGGTTAGCTTAGGTTGAGGGGACCAGCCCACTCAGACATCCTACTTGTCCCCGCTACTGTCCTTCCATTCTTTGTCGCGACCCACAACATATGTCAACACCCTTTAATTTGTAGGTTCAATGGTGCTTCATATAATGTGGCTATATGTGAGTCATAACTCATGACGGAGGGCCATGCAATAAGAGATGCGATAGTGATTTTAAAGTCGCCGAGTTTGAAAGATATGGAGAGCCCCATATCCATTGAGAATCGAGTATATTCATTGAATTATTCAAATTCTTTGGCGTAAAAGCATTATTCCTAGAGATAAATTACATCGCTATATTTTTTAAACCAACCATCTAATTTTGTGTTAAACACTAACCTTTAGAGATGAACATATCTGCATTCTCATTTGACTGTGTTCTAGCCTATGTGGAGGGTTCAGACAAGACTCAAACTTCCAAGTGCATGTTTGGACCCCATGGATTGCTAATTGTCTGAGTTTGGGGCTAGCTAGGGATAAGATTGCTTGATTCATACCATAGCATCAAATATTTTGTCCATGAACATATTCCTAAGTTACCATTCATCACAAACAAAAATGGTCCAGATCGTAATTAGATATATAAGCATTCATTACTTGATGCAATGAGAAAAGTTCAATCTTATTTATATTTTTTTTTTATAAAAGGTAATGTAGCATGAGAATATAAGTTTGAATTCGAGAACAATCACTTAATATAAGAATAATGATGCAGAAATGGAGCAATTTTTGCTGGGATTTCTATGAATAGAATCCAACAAGAACTCTTGTTCAGTAAAAGATAAGAATGAACTCTCTCTCATCTTTATGTATTCCATTAAATAATTGTCACATCAATTGGTACATCTATATAATTTATCTATAAATATTATCAAAGGTTAGATCTTTACCCAATCTCTCTATTTATATCACTTGAGAAAAGAGTTTCTAAGATTCAAGGCAATATGAAAACAGTCACTAAGACTCACTATGTGTCATATATAGTCTCACAATTAACAGGATGATAATGAACATTTTGTCTCATGAGAGAAATTTCTACTGCTGAGAGCTTACCTTGGAACACAAGCAAGACTGTGCAGACAAGTTAGTCATGGGGACCAAAGAAATTGCTGTGTTTTTGCATGTCGGAAATGTTGGCTATTGGTCGCTGTTGTTACTGTTGAAAGGGTAACAATGCATAATACCTCCTCACGTTCAGAATGGCATATATGTGCCATTTCGTGATGGGGATTATTAATTCATTGCACAAGGACATTTTTTTTAATTTATGTAAATGATTGAACACTGACATTGCATCTAACCATAAAAAATAAAAAAAAATAAAAAGGCAGAAAATTATTTCAAGTTTAAAATATTCAATTGTTCAATGACATTTCTTTTGCTTAAGTCCATAACTAGCAGACACAAGAAAAAAGGAAAATAATGTCAGAAGTGGGATTTGAACCCACGCCCTCTCACGAGGACCAGAACTTGAGTCTGGCGCCTTAGACCACTCGGCCATCCTGACCTGTTTGTAAAATTCTTCTCTTTCATTTCAATGCCCAAACAAGAAAATAAATGAAAGATAATAATTAGGTTGGCAAAGATTGAACTGCACACGATTAGTATTTAGTAGTAATTGTTTACTTACAGCTCCGGGTCAAATCATGAACAATTATTTTTTATTATTATTATTATTTATTTTTTTTTGGGAAGTTAAGCTCATGAACATTAGTGAGAAAGGAAAAAAATAATAAGGTATTTTTGTATTAAAAAAATAATAAAATTAGGGGGGCAATTGCCCCCTTACATGCATGTAGGTTTGTCCTTGGTTCTAGGTTAGTTCTTATAAAATTGTATAAGCATGTTCATGATTTTTCATATAATTTTGCAAGCTTTATGTTACGAAACAATATTATATATTTAGTGAAATTTTATCTATATTTAAGAACACGAGTTCCAAAATACTTTAAACCGAGCCTAACATAAACATAAGATTAAGATCAATTTGATTTATTAAACGAGTTAAAGTTGAAGCGAGCTTGTCACAATCCCAATTGAGCACAAATTGAGTTCACAAACAAATTTAAAATTCGACTCTGTTCATATGAAGTCATACGGTCTAATGAAACTAGATTTTAAGATTTGTAGGCTTTATGAAAATACTTTTTGGTCCCTCAAAAATGATATATTGACCCTTTTATTCACTTTTGAATATGACTAATACTATTGAATATATGTACACAAAGCTTTAATTCATTTGATTAACTCAAGTGAATAGTTTTTTTTTTTTTTTTTTTTTTTATAAAGGTAAAGTTAATTGTATATATGAAATATAAACCAGTGCAAGCAAAAGGCCAATGAAGACCCGTTGAGAAATTTACAAGGAAACTAAATAGCAAAGCCCAGCCCAAAACAAAAGGAGCAATGAAGCCCACAAAATCATATTGATCTTTGTAGCAGATCAATCGAGCAAGATATAACGTCAACGAGAACAGCCGATTGGATACAATTATACAAATAGGCGTCTCCCGTCCCATTCAGAGATCATATGATCCATCATTCATATCTAACCAACAATATTTGCTCCTCTTGGGTTTACACAATTGGGGAAGCTTGAGGAAGATGAACAGCATTCTTCACCGACTGAGAGTCATTTTCAAATTCTACAGTGCCTCCTTCCAAAACAGAGTTGCGATATATTTCATAACGATGTCAAACTTCTCAAAATTGCATATTTTAGCATTATACCAAATTCATCTCTTCTAATCCAACCAGCCAAAAATTAAGTCATTAGGTAGTACAGCGTATCCATCTATTTATATTCCTTTCATTTCTCATCCGAATCCAACAAATACCCTTTATAACATTCTCTCCTATCCGAACTCGCATCACTCTCGTTGAAATAAGGTACGCCCTCGTTACGATTGGGCCACCCTATCAACCCGGCAAGTGACGGTTGGACCACCCTACCTACCGGCGAGTGCCTCATGAACCAGGTCCAACTCTAATATGACTCTAATGCCAAATGTTAAGAATAAGTGCTTGCCTTGAGTTGTTAAATAATATTACAGATCAACCCATTTCTATCCCGTTCCAATGAACTCGAACTTCATGATTTCTTAAAATCAGGGGAAGATCATCATTATAGGTTGCTGGTCTCATCTAATTCACTGAGATATTATTTATAAACTCTTTTCTTGTTTTTTATTTATTTTTTATTTTTTACACATGTGAAGGATTTGAAAAGATATAAATTTTATGTTCAATCTTTTAAAAATTTCTATATAAAATAAATTTAGAGCGTGCAATTTATATTTTACATGTGTTGTAGTGTCTTTCCTTTTGAATTTCAGAATCAACCTCAATTAACAATCGTTAAATTGAAACAGAATCTAAAAACCAATCACCTTACACACACGAAAACGTAAATGGAATGTAGCTGAGGATTCCAGAAGCACCAAAACAAAGAACAATCTGTGCATCCTACGATTCAGCCAATCTAACATAGGCAAAGTGTTAGACAGGTCTCGTATCAGAATCTCTACCCCTCTGCTGGGACCTTCGCTTCCATTGGAAGCCCCATTAATATATCATACATACTACATATACTCTATATATATATATATATATATTTTTTATGGAGAGTGTGAATGATTTCGCTATGGAATATGTGAGAATTTAGATCCAGATATGAACCGAACCAGAAATAAATGAAATCAGATTCAGTGATCTACATTCTAACATCAATGTCCGAAGGCAAACTTGGCCGAAAGCGCATCTTTTAATTGCACTTCCTCCATAGGTCCTTCGTTTTCTCATTCAACACTCATCCCCAATTTTTTTTTTTATCAAACCCAAAAAGAAAAAAAATTGTATTGAATTATTGAAAAGTAAGCAAAAAAAAAAAAAATTTGATCAGAATCCGAGTATCGAGGCAGAGAGAGAAAGCGAGCTCAGTGAATACGAACCATAAGAGAAAGGGTTCATCTTGCGAGATGGCTATGTAGACATCCCACAATCACAACCTTTTTCTGAGTTCTCTTCATCGCAATCGCATCTTATCTCTCTATTTTGGAATTCTAACGATAAAGATGGTGCGGACGGGAAAGAACTAACCTGCCTCGAAGCAAACGGAAACGATAGATGCAAAAGCGCGGCGACTGCTAAAGCTAAAACCCTAATTGCTTGTCACATCCACCCAATCGAGGAGCAGGTAGTTCGTTTTATAGAGGTTTTTTGGATTTTTTTTTTTTTTGGGGGGCTAATAATGTTTTATTTTATCTTTGCCATCTCAAATCACACTAGGGCAACATTAAGCCGTGCATAGATTTTTTTTTTTTTTTTTTTTTTTACTCTACTGTAAATAGATACAAGTTGGTAAGCTATTAGAAGGACAACATTAGGCGTGCATAGAGATTTTTTTTTAATTATTTTTAATTGTTTTACTCTGCCGTAAATAGATACAAGTTGATAGTTAGAAAGGAAGTTAGCTAGTTGTTTGGATAGCGGATTTGGATCCCCTTCCAAGGTTGTGGTCTTATCCTATGCCTCAAATTACAACGTTCTAATGCATAATAACTCACTCTTATTGTAATTTTTTTTAAAATAAAAAAATTATCATTATTATATTTATTTTCTTTCCCCTCTCTCTCCTTCCATATATCTGTCGCTCTATTTTCTCCACCCTATACACTCCCACCCTCCAACCATGGTCACCTCCACCTCTTCTAAGAGCGACTCCAAAGGTCCATAATTTAGAGATTCTTCTTTAACTATTGGGCTGCTCCAATAGAGTCTCTAAAAAATGGGCCCCATGTTTTAGGTCGCGGAATGGGTCTCCTTTCTTGGCGACCCAATTAGCGATTGTAGACTTCTGACTTACGAGCCCGCCCTTTTTTGGATTTTTAACTTTTGTGGCTAGTAATATTGTAATCCAGCAACACTGTAGCCCATAATACATTTAAAGGCATGTTTGGCAGTGAAAAAAATTCCAAAAATTAGTTTTTTTGTATTTTTTTGCCTTTTTTTTTTTCCTTAACATAATTGAACTAATAAGTTGTTAAGACACTGTTTGGCTAGCACAAACAATGCCCTAAAGTTTTTGGGCCAAAAATTTTTTTTCAAAGATTGGATAAAAGTGAATTTTTTCCTTTTTCAAAAATTTTAATGTTCCTGTTGACATTGTATCCGTTTTAGGTACTGTTCTACTGTTTAACGGCTATATTGGCTAATCAAACAAAAAAAAATTCCCTAACAAACAGAAAAAATAATAATTTATTAACAATTTAAATAACATTAAAATATTAATATTTTTTTTTCCTATTGGAATATATGCGATGGTTAAAATTTGGAGATTCTAAAACGTTGACGTGGCTATGGGAAATACTGACGTGGCTATTGGAAATGCTTATGTGGCTATTGAAAAATACTGATGTGGCAAATTCGGAGAGCCTAATTTTAGAAAGTCTATTGGAGATGCTCTACCTATGGTCATCACCCCTCCCCTCTCAACCTCCTACCACCACCCTCTTGAGCCCCTCTCCTCCAACGACCATATGCATAGACGCGTATACCTTGATAAGGTTAAGCACTTAAACTTATATGTATAATTCTAATTTGAACAAGAACCAATAAATCAACGCAAATATACTCGTGAATTAATATATATATATATATAGAGATTTTCAACAGAGTATAACAATGAGTGATTCCATGTATATGTATTTACAACAATGATTTTGTATATATGTACACGCATATATATATATAATTACTAATTGTTATTTTCAGATGAAAATCCTAGCGATGGGTTGTTTTTCGTTGTCTTTGGTAGTCCAAGTTTGAGGTTTGCATCTCTAACTTCTATTATAATATTCTTATTTAAAAATATAAAATAAAAAAACACTACCTCTTCTCCTTATACATGCATATTAATCTCATAAGTAATGATATCAAATGTAGGTTCTATCCACTGTGTCGTGGATAGAAACTTTTTAACTATACAAATAGAAAATAAAAATTAGCTTTGAACATTTTTCTCAACCCCTCTACCACATTAGCAAGAAGCAATATCCACCATTAAGCATTAAGGGATATTTGTACCTTTTATTGATGTTTTTAGACCCACTGCATTTGATAAAATATATAATAAAAAATGGAAAATGATTTTTAGGCCCACCAATTAATTTATTATATTTAAATCATCTCCCGTGATTGTTTTGTAAATATGATGTGTCATAATATATATATATTTTTAAAAAGACTAATTATTTTGAACTCCAATCATTGTTTTTGTACCTTTTGTATAAAAATATACGTCAATAGTCAAGAATAAACAATCACGTGTCATACCAAGCATCCCACATAACTTTTACAAATCTACTCAACATAAAATTGATTCATTAACAGAATGAAAAAGTGAGAGGATGGAGAAAATATGTTGATGTAGCCGTGTAAAATGATTATGCAAAATACACATCAATTTTACACATTGGCGAGGTAAATTATCTCAAAAACAACTTCTATTACGAGGTACGTTTCCAACGCAAATTATTCAGTTACATATACATAATATCAATGAGATAATTTGGGTAAAATTGTTCAAAATAGATCCTGCGTTTAAATATAAATTTTTTAATTTTTTTAATTGTTTGTTCTATGTTATAATTCTTGCTACTCATAATCCCGTATAGATATTTATACATATATATATATTTTATATGGTGAAATATTTGATTTTTCTCCTAATATTGTCTTTTTATCTCTGATTTTTTAAATTTGTTTATCTTAAACTAATAATTAGTTTTACTTAAGAAAATATTACGAAGCCCTTATTTTAAATATAAACAATAAAAATGAATATAAACAATTATATATTTGAAATTAATAATTCATCATTTTACTGCAAAAAATTAGTTTTAGTGGATGCACAATCAAATTTTTTTTTTTTTTTTTTTTTTTTTTTTTTTATATGCTATCCAAACTAATAAACTAATATTTTTTTACAATTTTATTAGAAAATTTTTCATCCTAACAAAATACAAGATAAAAAATTAATTTTATTTTTCATTCATTTCATTCCACTTTCTTTCAATTTCAATTTCAATTTCAATTTTAATTTTAATTTCTTTTCTTTTCTTTTCTTTTCTTTTCACGTGTATTTTCATTTAACCAATCCGAGCCATACAAAAGGACGAGATTTAAGTAAAAAAATCCAAAAGATACTACAATTTATTGAAATTTATTTTTTGGTATTTTCAAAATTTGATTTATTTGAGGAGTATTGAAATATGTTTTGTGTTTCGTTGAGAACTCGCTTGGGTTAAGTTTGGCCATCAGTCGATCCAAAGCCTCCAAAGTTGCGGCGCCTATATCTTCCCAATAGAGAGAGAAGGCAAACAAGGGCGACAAACACTGCAACGCAGGGAGAGAACCGAAACCCTAGAAACGCAGATCTATCGAACGAGGTCAGTTTGGAGTTCATTATTATTGAATATTGATTGAAATGTATGTATATCAGTTGAATAGGTGTGTATTTATATCAAATTCCTTTGGTTTCTAGTTGTGTATGAGATAGTGTGTATTACTGAGGGTTTACTTTGAGATCTTCCAGCTCATGTGTTCATCTCATATGCGTTCATGGTTTCATTACAATTCCAGTGCTTGGAGTATGAAAAAATGTTCTATTGCTAGTTCGATTAGAACTTATCTAGTAATTTTACTAAAGTAAAGTACAAAGGCTTTCATATATATATATATATATACACACACACACACACACATGTTTGTGTTGTACTGCTAGTTCGATTAGAACTCATCAAGTATTATACTTCAGTAAAGTACAAAGGCATTCATATATATATATATATATATATATATATATATGCATGTGTGTGTACGCATATATATATATGTGTGTAAATATTTGTAACATTCACATTGGAGTAACTATATTTGTATCAATAACATCGTGACAAACTCCATTTTTATTTTTATTTATTTTTTATTTTTTTTATAGCATCGTTGGACCAGCAACAACATGCTTTTAGTCAAAATTGTGGTTCATCAATCCCATTCACATTTCTTTTAATATACGCATTTCTTTTTTAAGTTAACACCCGCATATTTAAATCTCATGTGACGGACTGATATAGTTTTTGTGGCACATACAACAATATAATAATTATGATATTTTGTGTATTTGTGCGGACTCAACACGAATACGTCAAATAGTTGTTTATGTTTGTTCGCAAAAATTTGTTGCCGTTGTAAATGAATGACTCTCGATTACCTTGTTGCAGACAATTATTTGAGCATCCAGTTACGTGCTACACCTGTTTCCATTCTCTGTCATGGCGGTATGTTAGACACTGACAGACTCCATGATCCCGTGATCACTGTTATTTTTCTCTTTGGTATTAATTTCTTTTGCATTTGACTTGGCGAATGTTGTAGGTCGATAATCTTTTCAAAGATGAAGCCACTGAAGAAAAGGGGGAGCGTGCTAGAATGGTTAGCTCTCTTTATATGTTTGCACGTATTTGAGTTATTTTTGATTCCATGCCTGTAAAAGTCATTTTTATTTCGATTTCCAAACTCTAACTTGTTTGCAATGATATCCATTATCCTTCTTTGTATTCATTTTTTTTATAGGCATCCTTTGTTGGTGCCATGGCAATTGCAGACTTGGTTAAGACAACCTTAGGCCCAAAGGGGATGGTAATATTTTCTTCTTACATGTAACCAAATTAGAAATATGCTATTTAGGTAGCGAGTATTCAATATATGTTATTTTGACTCACTTATGTGCTTGTTGGTGTACCTTTTGCAGGATAAAATTCTACAATCGACAGGCAGGGGACGGAGTGTCACTGTCACCAATGATGGCGCGACCATCTTAAAATCCCTCCATATCGACAATGCAGCTGCTAAAGTCCTTGTTGGTATCCACACTGTATTGTTTTCTGATTGCTCTGAATTCTGATGCAAGTGAATTGTGGTTATTTGTTTAATGGAAAATTTCAAGGTTCTTATCATTTTGTACTTTCTTGATGATGATTTCGCCTGGATTACCGGATACTGTATTCTTGTATGTGAAAAGAAACTAAATTTGTGCAGTTATGAAAATGCTAGATATGGCTATATATAAGGTAATGCACATTTTCAATTCGTTATCTGGTAATCCTTAAATAAAAAATCAGACATTTCAAAGGTTCAAGATGATGAAGTTGGTGATGGGACAACTTCGGTGGTTGTTTTGGCTGGGGAGCTTTTAAGGGAGGCAGAAAAGCTAGTAGCAACAAAGATTCATCCGATGACAATCATTTCAGGTTTGTCCTTATCCCCTCTTTGGCCTTACCTCCTAGACACTGTAGTTGATAAAATCGATAAACTTATAACCTTTTAACCTGGATTCTGGATTAATTACTCGACTTCTTTCCTCAAAACAGTGGAGGAATCAGAGCATTGCATGTGTTATTTTAATTTTGTGACAGTAGTAGGTTTTCTAATACTTCTGCTTACTAAACTCATTCTTAAATATCAGCCTTTAACTTTAGTACCTCATTCTATATCCATAATCTATAGTATATGATATATTAAAAGCGGCAATAGTTCTTAGATGTCTCATTATTTGATGTAATCTCCAAGAAAGTATTTGCATCATGGAGGTCTTATGGAATTTTATTGAAAATGAATTAGTTGATGATACTGAATGAACTTTAATTTGGCTTCCTGAATAGATTGTACTTACAATTTATTTAATAACAATGTAATTTGACATGATCATTACTTTCATGGTTCTTTTTTTTTTTTTTTGATAAGTACTTTCATGGTTCTTCTTATGAGCTATTTATTATGGTATCTCAATTGCATTATTACCCAAGTTATCATATGACTCTGTAATGTCTGTTTAATATTTAATAGAGAAGTCCTCATAGTCATGTAACTTTAATTTGGCTTCCTGAAATGTTCTTTGTTCTTTAGGACCTGTTTGTAGGGAGAAAAATAGAAGGTAGGAAAAGGGAAGAAGAAAAAGGGGTCAAAATGGAAGCTCTTTCCTTCGTTGGTAGAGTGGAAGAGGAAATAGAGAGAAAGGGAAGAGAGAAGCCCCCCTTTACCCTTGAGGCCTATCCAGTGTTGTTAAAGGCGCGCCTAGGCTCAAGGCGCAGGTCTAGTGCCTATTGTCATCCTAGGCTCACTAATGTGTACTAGGCGCGCGATTGTGGAGTGTTATAATAGTCAATTCAAACAATATTTTCTCACTTAATTCCTTCTTACTCAACCGAACAATGCAAGAGAAAGTTTCCTTCCTTTCACATAAGATAAATCCTTGCAACCCTTCTATCTTCCCTTCAAGTTTTACGTCATTTGTACGTAACAGAGCATTAACCCTTTAATATGTTGTCCATTTGATCCTTTCAATGGCTTTTTGTCTTAGAAGTTTTTGATGTTTAAGTTTAACCTCTCCTAGTTTGTTGCAGCATATTTATGCACAATGTACACCCTCTAGTAGTTCTTTCCACTATTTATTTAAGCTGGCTTCTTGGAAAAATTTGTTCCCTTATATTCTTTGGGGCTTAGTGAATATGCATTTATTATTTTCGGTTCATATCTTTGTATATAAATTGGATCATGGAATTGTCAGTTTTGGCACCACAATGGTGTTATGAACTATAGACATTCGCCACAACATCAAATTTGTACTGATAATCCTTTTAGTGAATAATCTTGTATAAATAGAAAGAAAAAACCTGTATTGTTGAAGTAAAGAAGGGCTAAAGTACATCTAGTTTGTACAAGTTATATACTTGTTTGATGTCTACACCACTACTCGGACCAAAACTATCAAGCACTAGAAAATATCCAAAATCTGGTGTAGGTGTTTGAAATCTGCCAAGAATTGATCTAGAAGATTGATACAAAAGTAACTTCAGGATTTTCATGCAGTCATGCTGCCACTGTATTACTGTTAGTCCTTAAACCCTTCTATTGGAGGTTGCAACTCAAGACAACGAGTTGCTCAAGATGCATAAATCCTGTTTTGGTGAAGTTTGGGTATCTTGCTTTCACTCAAGTCATTAGGGGATTCTGAGTATTTGCCTTTTCTACCTCATTTGGCTTTTGGAAACCGTGATGGAAATAGTTTTTTGTTTGTGTTAACAGTGAAAAAATGTTCTTTGGTTAAGAAGGTAGCCAAATATAGTCCGTTGTTTATTCTCCAATTAAATAGTGTATATTCAATATATTACATCTTTGCCTTCTAAATCGTTTTTCTTTGATTGCCTATGAGCTGAAACTGCTCTGCTGTTTGCCAATTAGTAGTGCAAAATAAATGCTTCTGTGCGTATCAATTGTTTTGTACCTCTAAATAATAGTTATTTGGTCAACTGACCTTTCTTTTCATTAGACTCAAACACCCTACTCTTAAATTTGTGCCTCAACATGCACAAGGATGTTGATGCCCCCCCCCTCGCTGCCCGATATATAATTGTGAGAATGCATGGTTCTTTTGAATTTTCAGGTTACCGGATGGCAGTTGAATGTGCTCGCGACGCATTGTTGCAGAGAGTCATGGATAATAAAGAGGATTCAGGTATTGATTGCTCACTTCATCGTCACAATCAGCTAGTTGATTTCCTTGATTGTTTTCTCCCTATGGATTTTGATTTGTAGTATTCCGTGTCACCCCAATTAGTCAATTGATTTAACAGAAACCTTGAACCTCCGCAACATGGTGGCAATATTTCCCAAAATTGTACATACTCAAACTGACAATCGCGAGGATGTGGATTCAAGTTTCTGATCAGTCACTTTGTGCAAAATATTTTAATGTTTTCTCTAATATTCCCTTCCAAGCACCCTGTGTTTTTGGGATATACACTGGATAGTGCAATATCTTTTAAATTGTTTATTAGAAAATAAAAATGACATTTTATCCTCAAGTTTTTCATCCATGAAAAAAACTCAATATAAACTATTAAGTGATTCTGGGTCGACAATACGCGTGGGCCATTTTTGGTTTGTTGTGTTCGAGTGATACATCATACATGTTTAATGCATACAGCATACTTACTCAAAATAAAGAAAAAATAAAATCTAATGCATGACTTGTCGAACAATTGCAGAGAAATTCAAATTGGATTTGATGAGGATTGCAATGACCACTTTGAGTTCAAAAATACTCTCTCAGGATAAGGAACATTTTGCAAAGCTGGCTGTTGACGCTGTTATGAGGTTAAAGGTAAGTGATATTTGTGCATTTAATTGTTGAAGATTGTAAACGAGAATTTTCGAATTGCATTTGTTCTTTGTTTGAAAATTAAAAATTTCATTCTTCCTGAACTGTGCAAAAAAGGAACTCAGTTTTACGGTGTAAGTTATCAGTTTCATACATGTCCTTGTTTTGAGGTACAAGTATATAATGTTATAGATTTTTATCACTAAATTGACTTGTTAATCAATATATATGATTCAGCCCATCAGAAGTTCAAGATAATAGCAAATTTAGAGAAAAGAGAATTATTAGATATTGATTTGATATCAGAGCGGGGGCTTACTTGACCTTGTAACAAGTTTTAGTTTAAGCAGAGTTCTATTTTATGTTTAATTTTAGGTTAGTTGTTACTTATCAAAAAAAAAAATTAGGTTAGTTGTTGCTGGTCAATTCGATATATATTTTCTGAAGTTTTTGGAATATATTCTCGAGATTAATTGGACATCTGGAATTATGGCTCAACGATCTTCTTTTGGGTAGAGCCGTGTATGGAAATCTAGGTGTGATGCCTAGCCGTGCCTTTTCTTCCTCTTAATTTTTCCTTGGTTTTCTGCACTTTTAAGCCTTTAAAACCCACAAACAGAGTTCTTTTAACCTCATTTCTACCTTCAAATGTCCTTTGCCAAATCCCTTTTTTTTTTTTTTTTTTCTTTTTCTTTCTAGAACCTTAAAGTTATAAAACCAGCCCCTACAGTAAAACCCAAAATGTCCCAAGATTACGTTCCATTGCTTAATTTAACCCCAACGCTTAAATTCTCACTTCTTTTACAAACTCTAGAGTAAGACCTAAAATGTCCACCAATATTAGCCAGACACCAAAAATTGGGGAAAAAAAGTAGTAGTAATAATAATGATGAGCAACCCTAAAGATCCCTTTGAAAATGTGTAACAGCAGATTTAGTTGCTAACTTATAGGAGACTGTTTACAGACTTGTCCTACATCAATATGTACCTGTCATCTTTTCCTTTTTTATTCATTTTGAGGCAAACCTTGTTCAAAACTTCAAAATCCTCTCCGTTCTCATTTTTGGTGTGTGTGTGTTTGAAGAGTACAACTCATAACCCATATCCTTATCAGGATGACAAATGATTTTCCTATAAGAGTAAGATTACACCAAGGTTTGGCGCTAAGTTCATATTTATTTATGGAAATCTTGGATGAAATAATGAAAAACTTGCAAGGAGACCTTCCATGGTGCATGTTATTTGCGAATGACATAGTACTATTATATAGTTCTAAGGATGCCTTAGGAATAAAATTAAAAGCTTGGTGAACTGCACTAGAATCAAAAGGCTTAAAAATTAGTTGAACTAAAATGGAATACATGGAATGTAAATTTTGTAGTGTTGTAGGTAGTGATAATATAACAATAAAAATTCAAGACCAAAGCATTACTCAAAGTTATTTTTGATGCTTAGGATCCGTTACACAAAAAAGATCAGAGAGATTGATGATGATGGAAGTCATAGAGTTGGAATAAGTTGGACGAAGTGGAGGAACGCTAGTGGGGTTTTATGTGATAAATGAAAATACCAAATAAGTTAAAAGGGAAAGTATATAGAACAGTCATTAGACTGGCTATTTTATATGGAGTGGAATGTTGGGCGTTAAAAAAGAAACACGAATAAAGCATCCATGTGGCGGAAATGCGGATATTAAGATGGATGTTAGGAATAAGAGAGAGTAGCCTTAGGTGGTACGGGCATATTAAATGCTGACCTATAGATGCACCCGTGAGGAGAGGAAAATTGATTTGCATAGAACGTAAGAGACAAAGAGGTCGACCAAAACTATATGGAATGAAGTAAAGAGAAATGATTTTAAAGAATTAAATTTAGTAGGAGATATGGATATAAAAGAGTGGAAAAAGAAAATCCATGTTGCCGACTCCGTTTGTATGGGATAAAGGCAAGAATGATGATCTTTTCTTTTGAAGTGACAGGAAACACCACTCAAGCTAGCAGATGGTGGTTTGTGTGTTCCAAAGAAATATATTACTAATGTATTGTTGTACTTCCATGTCGAGTATGTGTCCTATTTGGGGATGTTCTAAGGGAATCAGGAGAGATCGCTTTTTTGTTAAGTTTTTGAATGCCCTTAGTTTGTGATTCTTTTTCATTTTTATGTTTTAGGTTGTGTAATTCGCATGTGCATTGTTCTTATGTGGGGCTTGCCTTTTAATACAAATTTATCATTCACAAAAAAGAAACAATATTATTAATACATGGTTTTGTTTCATGTTGATTTTTCTATTTGTTTTATCTGGTAATTCTTTTGGAATTGATAGGGCAGCACAAACTTGGAGTCCATCCAAATTATTAAGAAGGCTGGAGGATCATTGAAAGATTCGTTTTTGGATGAAGGGTGGGTTTTTCAACTTATGGACTTAATTGCTGTGACTTTGGTTTGCGTTGCATGTTGCACCATCCTCTTTGCATATTTTCGCAGAAACAAGGACAGATAGCTTTATGCTTTTGCTGGGTTATTAGCTCAAGTTTCCTTGCCTTGGATTTAGTTAGGAGTTCTATATACTTTTGGAGCTTTATATATTTGTTTTTCATTTTATTTTCTCTGGTTTCCTTAGCGACCAGATGGAGCTTTGGCGTTCTCTTTTTTTTCTGTGTCTTTCTCCTTATGACATTTGCTAGGCATTGCTAGGCATTCTTTTTAAAATGTTCTGTTCTCACCTTAAGTTATATACTTTGTGCAGATTTATTCTGGACAAAAAGATAGGTATTGGCCAACCAAAAAGAATAGAAAATGCGAAGATTTTGGTGGCAAACACTGCTATGGATACAGATAAAGTGAAAATTTATGGTGCACGTGTTCGTGTTGATTCAATGTCTAAGGTTGCCCAGATCGAGGGGGCTGAAAAGGAAAAGATGAAAGAGAAGGTGCAAAAGATTATAGCTCATGGGATTAACTGCTTTGTTAACAGGCAGTTGATTTACAATTTCCCAGAGGAACTCTTTGCAGATGCAGGAGTACTTGCAATTGAACATGCTGATTTTGACGGCATTGAGCGCCTGGCTCTTGTTACTGGCGGTGAAATTGCATCGACATTTGATAATCCAGAGACCGTTAAGCTTGGGCACTGCAAACTTATTGAAGAAATCATGATTGGTGAGGACAAGTTGATCCATTTTTCTGGCGTCGAAATGGGCCAGGCTTGTACCATAGTACTGAGAGGTGCAAGGTAAATTATGTTTACATTCTATAAATATTTAGAAATTATAAAAGAACATTCTTCTCTTTTTCTCTTCAAAAATATCTATATGAATGCTCTCCAATTAAACCATTAATAGCAAAGCGAAATGTTAAACTCCCAAAGACTTGGAATCAGAAAACTTTTTCAATTTTTTTTTCTTTCAAATAATGCATTTTTTTGTACTCATTATGTCCTTGCATGTGTGCTTGTATGTGCATCAAATGAATGTGATAGTCATCATTCAATTATTCTGATGATTCCAAAACTAATAATCGACTAAATACATGTGGTACTTGTCAACCATTCTGATAATTCCAAGGCTATCAATTGACTGTATAAGTGAAGGTTTTCCAACTTTTTCCAATCTCGAGTACTCATTCTTTTATTTTCTTTCCTTGATTACGCATATGAATTTCATCAACATGTTAAAAATATCGAGTAAAGTTTTCAGACCCATTCCCTGCAAATGGCTGTGATTGGCATGGTGTTGTGTTGTGGCTTTGTGCTTGATCTGGTGTTGCTTTGGATAATTTTGTTTGAAGAAGGGAAATATATTAACATCCAAATTTATGCAATTAAGCATCAGTGGGATTGGTTAGCAGTCTCATGAAAGCACACAATTCTGAGATTGAGTGTTCTGTGTTTGGGTCCTAGCCAAGCTATACTTGCAGTTTGATGATATTATCAAATTTTCGTATCTACATACCTTGAAGCTAGAGGACTGTGTGTGCATATAAGTGTGTGTAGTGTGGTTATTTATGAAGTATGTTTGAATGTTTTTTATTTTTATTTTATTTTATTTTTATGATAAGTAAAGTATGTTTGAATCATATAATCATGTCATTTTTGTTTTGTGGGCTAGATATGTGAGGAATGATCCTTCTTTCATAAAAAATTGGAACGTGCTAGACTTGAGCTTGATCATCTTATTGTACGCATAAGCTGTTTGCATTTTGGAATTCCTTCCCTCAGCATTTTGTCTCCTTTTATTGGAACTTGGAAATGGGTTGATCTCTCCTTTTATATTAGGTGAATGTCTTTTGATCTGTGATTAACTTTTTGCCAGCTTTCACGTGCTTGACGAAGCAGAAAGATCTTTGCATGATGCATTGTGTGTGCTTTCCCAGACTGTAAATGACAGCAGGGTTTTGCTTGGTGGTGGATGGCCTGAGATGGTGATGGCAAAGGAAGTGGATGAGCTTGCCCGGAAGACTCCTGGGAAGAAATCTCATGCTATTGAAGCTTTTTCACGTGCACTTGTAGCAATACCGACAACCATTGCTGACAATGCAGGTTTGGACAGCGCTGAGTTGATTGCACAGCTCCGTGCAGAGCACCACAAAGAAGGAAGCAATGCTGGAATTGATGTCATCTCTGGATCTGTAAGTAAAGAAATTAGACAAAGGAATCTTTTCTCAAGTTTGCATACATGCTACTAGCTTTGGAGTGCTAAAAGATCTGAACTACTTGATTATTTTGCTTGCCTCTCACTTTGTGTGTTTTTAACTTAAATATTTTCATTTCTTTGAACCAATTGATTCTGGTAATTGGCTTCCAAAAACCATTTCGAATTGAATGATGCATTATATATTATGTGAGCTTTTCTGCACAACTAGTGAATTACTCATGTATGGGGAAAAAAAGATATGTTTGAAAAACTTTGTGCTGACAATCACATGGCCAAGATAAGCTTGCTTAACGGAGTATCTGAGAGAAACACGATTTTGGTTCAGGAAATGACTTTTATAATAACCTAGCCAATTGGGGAATTAGGCTGATGGGCTGTTGTTTGCACCTCATCCATGAAACTCAATTATTCAATCCCTCTTTGGAAAATTGTCTTCAATTGTTGCTTACAAGGTTGCATTATTACTCGGTTATTTTAACTGTAGATGTCTTTGACAGGTGGGAGATATGGCTGAGCTGGGGATTTCTGAGGCATTCAAAGTTAAGCAGGCTGTATTGCTTTCCGCAACCGAGGCTGCAGAGATGATTCTTAGAGTTGATGAAATCATTACTTGCGCCCCTCGAAGGAGAGAAGATAGAATGTGAAAGCAAGGAAGATCACTTATCCATGGTTAGCAGCATATGTTGTAATGCACCTTCTAATACTTGGCTTATGCACGAGTAGAATACTGATTGGGTTGAGATTTGGTTGGTTTGCAAAGTTGTGTTCTTTGCAGGGTTGATTAGTTTTTTGTCTGGAGAAGTTATGCACAATGTTTTGCTGCTTAGTTTTTGTAAAAGTTTGCTGAAGTTGATCCACAAATTATGAATTTTTTGTTCCACAACTAATTGACATGATGGTCGATTGGAAATCAACTTGGATGTAAACAAATGTTAAGTGGGGTTAACGAGTTTTTCTGAAAAAGTATTGTGGACTCGATCATGGAGATGAGTGTCGGCATGCAACACTTTTTTGATACTGCTGTTCATGCCTGATTGCCTGGCCATAGCATTTAATATCTGTTGCAGGTTCGGATTACCAACAGTGAATCTACCATTGTAACCCCACCCTGTGGTATTCTTTGTTGTCCAGGTTAATCTACTATATATTTTGGTATTGATAGATTACTTATTGTAAAAGATATGCATGTTAAAAGTCTCAGTGCTTCAACCCAGTAAAACAAGCACTATATTTGGCTTCACTGACCGAGCGAGCAATATTTGCTGCTTCCTGTGGCTGCCTGTTGTGGCCGTGCGTGGAAACTTTATGGTATAGATTGAATTGGAATTGTGCTGAGTCGTGCCAGCTATATTCGAATTTTGCTTGTCAGGTTTGAGCTCTACTCTTTTCATTTAGTTTAGTCAATCTCAAGATTGAAATAAAGATTTATAAGAAAAATAAAATAAATATGAAATTACTAACTACATAGTATTAGTAGTGGAGCCTCAATATAGGATGATCTGCTTTATTTTAAAAGCTAATACGGGGTATTTGCTGTAAATATGAAATTGGGCAAGAAGAACGATTGGTTTGGTAGCTTTTTGAGGATAGAGAGTAACAAGATGCAGGAAGAAAAAAGATGCGCGAGTCAGAAGGCTAGGAAAGAGGTTGAAGAGGCGGCACTTCATATAAAATTACTATCTACAAAGTATTAGTAATGAAGCCTCCAGATCCGATGTTTAAATATATGTTGATTTGCTTTCTTTTTAAGCTAGTACTCTAAATATGAAATTAGATAAAGAAGAAATTTGAACAATTCTGGAACGTTCAGTATTAGTAGTGAAACCTCCTCCTAATACGATATTCAAATATAGAATGATTTGCTTTCTTTTCACTACCACCTTAACCTTAGTTAAAAGTATTAATTACAGTATTGGCAGTGGGCATATTTGCTTTTTTTATTTTTTTTTATTTTTAATTTAATACGAATATTTGATTTCTTTGTAAGTTAAAACGGGTTATTGATTTTTTTTTAAGCTAATATATATATATATATATATTGTAATAGTAGTATATAATAGGGTAATAATAGTATATAATAGGGTAATAATTTAAAATAGATGGCTTTTTTTTATTAATTTTTTTTTAAAGCTAATACTAGTAAGTATATATTTTTTAAAACACTAATATTAACTTTTTGTCCGAGTAAATATATAAGCCCAATTCAGTGAATTCACACCTAAAACTTCGTACGGTTTCTAAAAGCCATCGAAACTCTGAATCTGGTTCATTACTCAACGCGTTCTCTTGCCGAATAAATATTGGTTATGTTAAGCGTAATGTTTTTCCCAGTCCCTAAATTATAAAATTCAAAACACTCACCTGATTAAAAGAATCGAAACGGAGTTCCGAATCTTCGTTCCGAATCTTCTCTCAAATTTAGTCGCAATTTTCAGTATTTATTTATTTTTTCGATATTGTCCGTCAAAGAAGATTTGATAATGTGGAATTCGATCTCTAATTTGAAAGAAAACCTCAGTAAAATCGCACTGGATGTTTATGACGATGACCAGCTCGAGATCTACAATTCGCGTGATCCAGATGGTTCTCTCTCCGATCGCCGGATTTCTCACCGTTTTGCCCATTCCAATTCACCTTCATTTTCACCGGTGGCCAATGGTTTTGACTCCTCCTCTAATTCTGAGGTATTTCTTGTTCCGCGTATTTAGATGCACATATGTATGTATATATTGATGTTTGTTGTTGTGATTGTTTTTTTGTGGTTGAATTCTATTGATTGATTTTCTTCGATTTTAGAGATAGGCAATTTGAATTTGCAAAAAAAATGTGTGGATTTGTTACCTGAAGTTTGCAGTTCGATGTAAATTTTATCCTTATGTATCATAAATCATTTGAAAGATTTAGTAGTTGTCATTTGAAAGTTTGGAAGTTGTAGTTGTGAGTTAAATTAGGGTTTATGAGATCTCATTCTGCTTCTCCAGTGAGGCTGTTGATTCATACCATTTGCCATAACCTTCGGTAGGGAGAACATGTTATTTAGTGTTATGTAATGCTAACACTTTTGGAAATCTGCGATCCTGATTGCATGTTTTGGAATTTGGAATGTAGAACGTTCTATTTTAAAGTTATTTAGCTTTGTAGTTCTGAAAAATGTGTTCGTAATAGTTTTTGCTCCTTTATTTTCCCATTGTTTTACCTATAATATGTGCTTTATGTAGATCGAACAGTACAAAACAGAAATTAAGAGGCTTCAGGAATCTGAGGCATTATCAGTTAATTATGCAGCTTTATTGAAAGAAAAGGAGGTAAACATTTGTTTTTTGATTGGTTTTCTTTTCATGTATGATTTTATTATTTAATTGCTATTTCTTGGTTTTTTGAGAGTTCTTATTAGGGATAAAAATGGTTCGCTACTCAAATTTTGTTTTAAATACAGTTTATGCTGTTTAGGTGTAACTATCAAGGCATCAGGTCAAAAGTGCAAGTACTTTACTCGTAAGATATCTCGATCAACTTTTGACAATGTCAAATGAGATTCATTCAACATGTTTTTATGTAGTGCTCATAACTTATCATGCTGCCTTTATGCTCACGTCGTAGTCAAATTTGTGGCAATCACTATTAGTAGTTGGTACTGAAAGGAGTTGAAGGGAAGGTGTATGCAGCTCTCATATCAGAAGCGGACTGTAGGTTGTCCTGCTTCCTTGCTCACCCAGTGTGTCTCTTTAGTGGACCATTAAAGGTAGGGAGCAGACCCAACAGGGTTAACTCAGTTCAACCTTCTCACAACACAGTATTCCAAGGATTCGTATCAAGCTGGTTGGGTGAACCAGTCACGGGCTCTGTCTTCTGCATATAAAAAACTACAGTTTGAAGCATCTTTAGACTAAAAGAAAAAGTATTAACATGGCTTTATTTCTGACCAACTACTTTGTATCCTCGATCAGATATCAAACCAATTTAGTTATGTGAGAACATGTGAGGTCCATATCTTTAGCTACACTTATTGTGACGCTATTATTGCCAATTAAACCGGCAGTTAAAATATTGATCAGCTCTCCTCAAGCAGTGGTTTTAGTTAAAGGATGATATGGTCCTCTCTGGTTGATTCAGTGACCTGTAATTCTTCTTGATCGAAGGATGCTGTAATCTGTGTTAACTATCATGTTCAGTGGAATGACATTACTCAGTAGCTATTTGGTAGTTTCCCCAATGAAAATCATCCTCTATTTGCCACTATTCTTATAGACGGGAGAGAGATTAGATTAAATTATAAATATATGTGATGAATTTTGTGACAATATTTTATATGGCGACCACTACTGCTTTAATATCTGTGATAAATATAATGGCCCCATTCTGTATGGCGACCACTACTGCTTAAATAATAAATATATGTGATAAATGTTGCGGCCTTAGTCCCGGTTCCACTTTTGTAATTGGGACGCGTTCCCCTCTTGAACGCTCTTTTTATGCTATTTTTACTTATCAAAAAAAAAAAAAAAAATTTGTTGCGGCACCATTTTGTAATACCAATACTGCTTTTAGTCAAACTGTTTATGAATGATTTGATATCAAATTCTTGACAAAACATTCACACTCAATGGGATTGTTGTTACTGGTTGTGCTGCATTCCATGCTCTCTCCTTCTCTGTCAACATCCCAGAGAGAGTGTGTCAAAAATAACTATGTCTGAACTAAGTTCCCTAATCTGCCAAGATGGGCCATGTTTCTGCTTTCAATTAGTGGATCTATGAATCAAGAATGCATCATGGTCAATTTATTGATTTTTATTTGTGGAGTGCAGATCCTAGACATTCCTATTATGTAAATGTTTTTTTTTTTTTTTTTGGCATCTTCACTTATGCACAATATACTAGCAAACAAGTAATCTGGTCCTACTTCCTATATTAATGTTTTGTCTTCTGTTATCATACAAGTGTCTATGTATATATTTTCTTATGTTGTTGCTTTTGACCCAAGGTATTTTTAGATATGGGTCCTTCCACCCTCGCTCCATGTTCTAGTCAAATGTTCCCAAATAAGCCGTCTTAATTGATCCAATACTTGTCATTTTAGGTGCCTACGTTGTTTTTTATATTTCATTTGACAGGATGAGATTTCCAGATTGAATGAAGAAAATGGCTTGTTGAAGCAAAACCCGGATGCAACAAATGCCACCCTGAATGCATCGAGAAATGAGAGTTTCAAGACATCAATTAATAGTCAAAATGTGCTTAAGGTAGCCTTTGAAGTTTATTTTTATTCTGCAAGAGTTGATTCATTTTAAGAGATCTTTTTAAAAATTTGGAATTTGCTGCAAGTTTTGCACTAAAAACCGACATTATGTCAGAACCTGCCTTTAATTCTAAACTTTGGAGTAGGGATATACCTGTGTGTGACATTTCTCCATTGTGACCTGGAGTTCACACATTCGAAATGGGAAATTGCCCATCTCCATGCGGAGGTAAGGCTGCCTACATCTGATAACCCTTCCCCCCCACCCCACAAATAAAAAATAAAATAAAATAAAATAAAAAAGAAAAAGAAAAAGAAAAAGAAAATTCAAAACTTTGCAATGGTTGGAACCTCGCGTACTAGGGTAGCCCTTTTATATACACGTGTGTCACATGTATCAACAACATTCTTCTGATGGTGCCATGAGCTACAATTGCCGTTTGCAAACTTTTATTGGTCAGTTGTGCAAACTAATTATTTTAGATACACATGTTGCATTCTGGCTTCCTCTCTTTTGTGTAGCTTTTTTGCCTTCTGTTGAGTCTTATGGATCAAGTGCCCTCAGATGCTTTTCCTTATCACCCTCAAGTTGAAACTTGGAATGACCTTTGGTGCACTTACAGAAAGGAACTATTTACATTTGAAACTTTTGATGCCCGTTTATAATTATCACATTAGAAATCTGGAGGTTTATAACTATCACATTAGAAATCTGGAGGTTTATAATCATCACATTAGAAGACCATGCCATCCAGCTAATGGAAGAGAGGGGCTATATAGTCTTATCTTCTCTTGATAAATTAAAATCCTCTTTATCTGGATGCATTAATATATAAAAGAGCAAAGCTAAACCGTATTATTATAACACTCAATCTTACTGTCAGGGCATTTGGAATCCTTAAAGCTTACATATATATTTTTGTCTGCTTGTGATAATTTAAAACGATTTAACTTAGGTATATAAATATTTTCTGAGATTTTCAAATCGACACGATACAGTGATTAATAACCTTTTCACTTATCAAAGGAAAAAAAAACCCTTTTCAGCATAGCAGATGTGCACTTCTTTTGCCGCATTTAAACTAACTGGTTGTTTTTTGTTACTAAGACGTCCCACTGCGTTAAAAATATTGTGCTATCTGTTTCTTATTGACCTTTTTTTGAATGTTTCTGTTAATAATTGAAGTCTATAGAAGGAGCCTCTTCTCCGTATCTAGGTATTGGCTAATTTCTTTTGGAATTTGTTTAGGGGAGCGGTGACCAGTCACCTAACTGGCAGTATAAAGCTATAGTGAAAAATCATTCTACTGGTAACCACACTCATAATGGCGTCGTCTCAAAACAGGATGTTGTAAGCAACGGAGTTGCACATTCTATGCAACAACTCATCTTTCAAAGTAACGTGGAATCAAGACACCCCATTGTTCAGGGCAATGAAAAGGTAATGGCTTCTTTTCTGTTCTGAGAAGTATTTATATTCTTGCTTGGGAGTTTGTTTGAGTGACTTCATAGTTAATGTGCATGATACCTCTACATTGTGGCCAAGGCTGGTCCAGTTTTCAAATATGGATTTGGCGCCTAAGTTGCTTTAACTTTTAAGTATGCGCCAGCTCCATATGGAGTTATTGATCTTATTTTTTTATTGGCACATTAAAAGTAATGAATTTTCTGACAATTATGTAGTTTTCTTTTTCCTTTTTTGGCTTCTCCTTAACGTCTGCTGTTTTTAATATTGTTGTTGTTGTTGTTTTTCTTATTATTATTGTAATATTACCCGTAAGGAATAAACTTGACACAGATATATGAATGCCTTTTAGGAGCTTGCAGATTTGCTAGAAGAGAAAAACAGATCTCTGGCAGCAATTCGTGGAACTCACGAGCTACAACTGAAAGTATTAGAGATAGAACTTGAGAAAGAGCGTGGCAAGTTAGCAGATATTCAAGTAAATTTACAAGGTATTTTTCTCCCACTTGAAGATATGTTGGTCAAAATTTACATTTTGTTATCTGGAATATCTGGTCTCATAATCTTTTTTTCATTTTTAGAGGAACAAAAGTTAAATGGGTTCTTTCAACAGGAGCTGAACAGAATTAAAGCGGAAAAGGATGAAGTGAGTTCAAAATTGGGTTCCCATCTCCTAAAATTGATGGATCTTGTGGCCTTTTGACACTGTTTGTTTAAAGTTGATAGTATTTTGTCTACTATTGTTGAAGTGATAGCATTATGATCTAATTTATTTTATGGGGGTACTATCAGAATTTCATGCTTTCAAGTTTGTATCGGGGTATTTTGTCTACTATTGTTGAAGTGATAGCCTATATGTTTGGTGATTCTTGTTGACTGGAATAAATGGGAGAAAAGACAGATCTCTGAGAAGGGTCTGATATCTTTACCGTGACAAGAACATGATTGTTGTTAATTTCTTTAGAAAGATGAATTGAAACCAATAGCTAAACCAATTTTACATGGTTTCAAGTAGTTTTTCATGTAGTTGTAAGTCTACCAATGGATATCTCAGATATTCAAACACAATGACATTGAGATGTCGAAATTCCTTCTTTTTTTTTTTTTAAATAACCTTTTCATATTTTGTAAGGTGAATGTATCTTTTATGTAAATGAAGTGTTCATCACGTACATTTCATTATTTTGTATGTGGTAGCGTTTTATGTACAGACATGCTAGTAACTTTGATTTATGCTAGCTGGGTGCACATCCAACAAACACGTTGGCTCATATTCTGATCCCTGTATCCATGTTTTTTACATGGTTGATTCATGCATTTAAAGATTCCATGTAGTATAGATTTGAATTGAGATATATCAAAACTGGTAAAAGGGGTTACCCAGGTTGTGTCATTTTAGCCATGAATACTCTGTTGTGCACATTCAGGGTCACTCGGGGATTTGTACTCTTAGCTGGCATAGGGTTTGTTTGTAAATTGCAAAACATGAAATTTTGGTGCTTATTTTTGCATATTTAATGCAAACATGATCTTATATGCTATTAACATCACTAAAACATTACTTCATTTAAAAAAAGTCACCTACAATATTACTTAAACAGTTGTATTCAGACTTATTTTATTTATTTGTTTTTCTATGCCTTAAAGAATCATGTATACTCTACAATTCCCTTTTCCATATGAATTTCTTTCTTTTTGTTGGTTCTTGGATATCTAACCAATTTTCTTACTTACTTTTCTTCTTAATGTTTCTTTTTTTGGTTTTATTTATTTTTATTTTTTAAATATTGTATTTTGCCTCTTTCTTACAGACTTTCATGGAGATGAACAAAATTCGTAGTGAATTGATTGAGAAAAATTCAGAAATAAGACGAATGCAAAATGAGTTAAAAAGAAAAGAGAATTCAGAAGCCGACAACATTGTGGAGGATTTGAAAAGAGTCATTGCAACCCTAGAGAAGGAGAACAGTATTCTTAAGGTTGATATCTCTGTGCCTTTGGAAGCTTGTCACACATAATTTGATGTTTCTGTCATGTGTGTTACATTCTCATGACTCAAATTAACATTATTTGCAATCTGGCATCTATAACGTTCTTTAATAGTATCTCATTTGTGGCAGATGGAGAAGACTGAACTCGAGGCTACTTTAAAAGTGGCCAGTAACAATTCAGGCCACAAAATCTCTCCTGATGCTTTAGAGACTTCAAATAAACATTCAACTATTTTGAATGAGGTAATCTCAATATAGCTCTAAAGCTAATTTAATGAACTCAATACATCCTGGTCCCAACTATTTGGATAGGCTGCATGAACCTTATTCTGTCATCTTGTTCTGTCTAGAGCCATAATTTTAGCCAAACCATGTACTTCCATGTTAGGTCCACTGGTGCAGGGTAAAACTCAGCTTGCTAAGAGCGAGTACTTGGGTTCAGGTCTGCGGCTGCCACTTTTTTTATAATCTGTCCCTCCCAACCAAGATTTTTAGAACTCAGTTGCAGGTTGAGGCTGTAAAATTTTTTCAACACTACGAAATATGATCAAATGAACTGATACATGAGTTTTAATTCCGGAATTCAATAAAACCATAGTTTTAATGAATTTCATTGAATATTCAAAGGTGATTTTGTATGAGTAATAGCCTAAAAATTAAATTTTATGGTGTTTTCAGCAATATGTAAGTGTAATAATTTGTACTTTGCACTAAATATATGGCCAAAAATGCATATTAAAAGCGAAAAAAATAAAAAATAAAAAATAAAAATAAAGTTGTTATGTTCACATAAACATATCCACTAATAACTTAGAAGTTGGAAATCAATAGACCTATATTTGGCACATGGAAACCATACACATTAAAGATTATATACTCTTTACTTATTTGCTTCTTTTTTTTAAAACAAATTTTCAATATTTCTCAATTAATTTTTCTAATTTTCTGATTTTTTTATTTTTAACTCTCTCTCTCTCTCTCTCTCTCTCTCTCTCTCTCTCTCTCTCTCTTATGAGGTATGTTTGTAACTTCATGATATACATATATTAGCAGTTTACTAAAAATTCATAATTTACGAATTACTCTCAAGTTTAGAACACTAGACCGTTAATCTATCGAAAAATCTATAGTTTTTTTTTTTTCTTGATTTGTACATATATTTTTGGTAGGGTGGGGGTTTGGTTTTCTCTTGGTCTTAAGATTTGGAGAGAGAGAGCGTGTGAGAGAGAGCTACTATAGGATTTTTAGACCAGACCAAAAATCACATCCATCTTGGTCCAGATTCAGCTGAGACAATAGTGATTTTTAATATGGCTGGACCACAGTTATCTTGGCTGAGATGCGACCGAGTCAGACCCCGAGATTCTATGATACTGGCCAAGTTAGGCTGAGTTTTGACCGAGATAGCAATGATGTTTAGTTTGGAGGAGATGTAGGCCTACTTGGATTTGACTCTGTTGAGTTGGGCTGACTTGGTTGAGGTTTGAAACTATGCTTCCATCACCTTTGATTGACAGGGACCACTTAGGTAATGGCCATATGCTTCAATGTCTTTTCTTTCTTAATTCATGTTAATTCTGATATTCTCCCACCTCACAATGCTTTGTTTACTTTTGTGAAATTCTAGTAGGAAATGATAAAAAGAAGATTTGAAGGAATACTGGTTGAGTCAACTTTGCGAATATAAATATTTAATAATCTATCTCATTCATTATAGAAGGAAAAATTGAGATTGTGGATGTCGCAATTTGAAATTGAGTTTAAAGAGAACATATTAATAAACAATTGCCAGTGAGTTCGAATTGCTTTGGTAACGTGATCATGATGATGCACACTTCTCTCCAGTGACAAGCCTAGTCATGTATACTTATACTTTGTCCCATATTTTCGGAAAACAAAAAAGCTTGTAATGATGGAGATTGTAATTTTGTCAAATAGCCCAAATCAAATTTAAATACAGAATTGCGTATGGGATTAAGGTACGGATGATGATTCTTAATGCCATTAGCAGATCAACTTATATCCAAATTGAAGATTATATTTTTTATTAAAACTTATAATAATTAATCTAACATGTAATATATTTGAGTTGGCATGCTGATAAGGTTGAAGCTGCAGGCATGAGCTGGTTTTACATTAGCAAATCTGATAATATGTTGTGAAATTTGTATCATAGGTGTATGTAAAATATTAGCAAATACTTACAACTTTACAAGTACTAAAAACTGAAGCATTTTTTATTAGCTTTGATTAGGTATCCAACAAGAAGAAATCTAAAACCATGTTACCTTTTTTCTTATAATATTTTTGTTATTATTACATTTTTACTGTATTCTTGTTGACAAGTTAATTCAGGTCGACTGAATTCGTTGGTTGGTTCTGACTTCTGGGTTATTAGCCACTCAGTTTATATACTTTCCTCTCACGTAGAGAACAACTTTAGTAGAAAATTCTGAGATGTTTTCCGTTCTTTTACCCCATGTGATTTTTTTTCCAAGAATCTTAAATTTTCTGCAAAACACATTTCAAATTCTGAATAGTATTTTAATATCCAGTATTTTATGGCATACGGTATTGGTCATAATTTAAAGCACCCTCCCCTTCTCTCTCTGTCTTTTCTTGTTATTATTGTTTTTTCCCCATTTGTTAGACTAATGTGTGACGATCTCTGTAAGATAATGATAAATATGATCATAGTGTGAATATTGATTGTTGATGCACTTGTAAATGATTGTTGTTGCCATGTAGTAGCTCCCTACCATAAATGAAATGATTTTTCTGTGTAGAAGGTACAGTCATTGGAAAATTTTCCCGGAAAAGAAGAAATGGAGCTCTCTTTGCTTAATTTGGAGAAAGATTTGAAGGAAACACGCCTACAAAGGGACAAAACATTACAAGAACTGAACCGCCTTAAGCAGCACTTACTAGATAAGGTTGCATATTGGTAACTTCTCTCTTTTGTTTTCAGTGAGAGTGACCTTTCTCTTGTTGCTTGGTGTGGCATGTTTAGCCATTCAATTAAATATGTACAATGTGGCAGGTTTTTCACTGGGTACACATCTTTTTAAAATTTAATGCTGTAGGATTTTAATGTCAATGGTGGACCTGATTCCTGTATACTTGAAACTTCACTACATACTTCCTGTGTATCAGTGTTGGGGCTACAATGCTCCACCAGTAGACACTACGGAAGACCTTACTGGCTATTGCAATGGAATCATGATGTGGTAGTTGTAGTTAAGAAGTTCCGCACAGTGTTTCAGTATGTCATATTTTAAGTAAACTACATTTTATATCAATTTATGTTCTCTAGAATTTGCTATATTTTTAGTACATTCTTAGTGTTTTGAAGTCATAATAAAGTTCCTTTTAAAAAAAAAAAAATTTATTTTGTTGAGTTGGGCTATGAATGGGGCTTTAGTAGACTGATGATGAACTTAGTTTGTTGTTTGTAGCCTCAGTATTACTTTCTATTATATTCGGTAGATTTTTGGTGGATCAAGGATTTTTTACATTTTAAGATAAAATTATTATTATTATTATTTTAACTTTCTGCAGTCAAAATTGAAGATGGTTTTTCTTACTGCAATATTGTTTAGGAATCTGAAGAATCAGAAAAAATGGATGAGGACTGCCAGATTATTGAAGAACTACGAGAGAGTAATGAAAATCTAAGAGCTCAAATATTACATCTGCAGAAAACTCTGAGAGAGGCAATTGCTAGTCAGGAGGAAGTTAAGACAATTAAGGAAGATGAACTTCAGAAGTCTAGAGAAATCATTAGTGATCTGAATAAAAAACTGGCAAGCTGTTTTAACACAATAGATGCCAAAAATGTTGAACTTCTGAATCTTGAAACCGCTCTTGGCCAATACTATGCTGAAATTGAAGCTAAGGTGAAATTAATCATCTTCTATATGCTTTGGTAAAAACAATTGGCACGTGTGCTTGAACCATGCAATATCAGATACTGTATTTTATATTATATTATTCATACACTATCAGATATTGTGTTTTATGTTATATAATTCATATTTATGTTTAGGAACGCTTGGAAGGGGATTTGGCTCTAGCAAGGGAAGGATCTGCTAAACTCTCTGGGCTTTTGAAGGTATTACTCTTACACTTCCCATTGTAATGAATTCATTTTCTGAACTCGTCTGTGTTTTCTAGTTCTAAGAAATATTTATTCGAAATGGTGATCCATAATTAGTCTTTGTTATTATTATCTAATTGAGGATTTTATCTTACTATTTATTAGTTCAAGTGATGTGCATCTCTAATGCTTAAAGGCTAACAACATGTTATATCTGGTAATCTGATTATTTTTAGGGCCTTGTGCTCTATATTAATGACATTTCACATTCTAATGACAGGCTTTTGTGGTAAGATCTTTTTGTTAGGAAAAAGTTTCTACTTTGAGTTGATTTATAATCTTCTGATACTAGAGCTCTACTGAATCTTTTCAGACTGACCTAAAAATTATATTTTCACTACCTAGTTTCTTTGGCTTAAAAGTGTTTTCGCTCTCACCAGGATGCAAATCAACAGGCAGAGATATTGAAGAGGGAAAAGGAAGAAGTTTTGGCAAAGCATTCACAAGCTGAAAGGTTGCTAGTAGAAGGGAAAAACAGATTGAATAAGCTCGAGGAAGACAATGTCAAACTACGTCGTGCTCTTGAGCAGAGTATGACAAGACTTAATAGGATGTCAACGGATTCGGATTACTTCGTTGACAGGTTAGCCTTAATTAATTTATATATATATATATTATAATGCTAATGGTCTTGGATTCTTTTATCCATGGGAGATGAAAATGGATTCAATATGAAGATAGCATAGCAATGCGTTTGTGCATGCACGCATATGTAGCAAAGCTCAATTTCTGTTTTTGAATTTTGCTACATTCCATCAACTTTTTTGCTCTATTATAATGTAGATATATGTAGGACGAATTTAATGAAGTTGCTGAAACTAGAAATTGGATGGAAGTATAATCAGTTTGTAAGATCGAGTGGGTTGTTTTATTAGTTATATAAGAATCTTTATAGATGTAGATAATCTCATCGCACTGTTATAAATGAACAACATGATTTAGAAAGTTGGCGTGGCATATAAACTGCATTGGTAATTTTGTCTTCTTTAAAATGGAAACTTGATCCTTCTTTTTCCTATGTATACTTTTCCCCAAAGAGTGTCGTATATACTTATCTTCCCTATATTGGAGTTCTTCATCACTCAAATTATAAGGGTATGGTTTTTCTTTTAGATTCTTCAAAATTGTTGGACATATATTTTTTAACTTAGATATCTTCTGTAACCTTCGTCTCTATCATCTCTGCTATTTTGTGTCTCAACATTAGTTAGTTCTGGATATAAGATTTCACTTTTCTATATATTTTCGTTATTGTTTGTGGGGTACTAAAACTGAGTTAAAATAGGATTTTATGTTTTGTCAGCTTTATTACCTTTTGAGTTCCTTTTTGAAAATATAAGTGCAGAGTTTTATTGATAGTTGATTGGTAATGTTGGCAGGCGCATCGTGATCAAATTATTAGTCACCTACTTCCAGAGAAACCACAGCAAGGAGGTATGAATTCATAAACAGATCTTTGATATCTCTGATATCAATTTGAAGACGGGTTGTAAAAGATTTCTATTATTGCACATGTAATAAAATACTCATCTGCAAGCTAGTGGGAGCAAGTAATATGATGCATGGTTAAAGACTATAAAGGCCCAACTATTACACTAATATTGGACAGTATTAACTATGGTCCTTTTTGTTCTCTGGATAAGAGATGAACTGAGAGAGGGGAACACACAATAGGACCCACTCCCTCTCCCTACTATTCTCTCCCTGCATGATTCAAAAAGCCATAAACTCAGGAGCTGATCTCGTTCCAAACTCAAGTAGCTTATTTTTTTATTTGGTTTTAAGATGTTCATTAACTTGTCGAGTCCAGTTCAATAAATTAACAAGTTCCAGTATATGATTGAACTCTGCTTGTATCTCATGAGTTCATTGATTCCATTACAAAACTGATGAGAAGCCCATGGTTTGTCTTAAAGCTCCTCTGGGGTGCCCAGAAAAGAAAATGAAAACATGGGTGAAACACCAATTACAGGAAAAAAAACTACCAGGATGGGAAAAGAATCTCCAAAATACTCATCAAGTGGTGACACCCTTTTTGAGAAAAAAAAAAAAAGAAGAAGAAAAGTTTCACGTTTGAGTTGGTCAGTTCAGTTCCGGTTTTCCCCATTTTGTCATGGGTAAAAAGATTACACACGGAGATAACTATTTAATTAACCGAAATGGGGTAAAAAGATTACGCACGGGGATAACTACTTAATTTAACTGTTTTGATTCCCCACCCCAACTGAATTTTCAACTACTTCTTCACTGATTATCACTTATGGTATGCTGAATGCCACTAGGTCCTGGATCTAATGGTTCGTATGCTGGGATTCTCGGACGAAGAAAAACAGAGGATAGGTGTTGCTCAGCAAGGTAATGGTAGAGGTGTAGTTCGGGGTGTTTTGGGCCTACCAGGCCGTCTAGTTGGTGGCATCTTGGGTGGAAATTCAGCGGAAGCCTCTGCAAACATGGCATCTGAAAAGCAGGTGATATTTTATTTATGATGGTCATGAAATTTTCTTGCATGTGCATTTCACTCTTTTATATATGTTTTTGGTCCGTTGTGGTACTAGCTTGGTTTGTTTCTATTAATGATGTCTTACTAGATGCTTTGGATGCTACAATGATGTTTGCATGCATGTTTACCTTATCGACCTTTTGATAAATTCCTGATCTGATCAAATTATTTGTATCGCTTCACACCTCTCCGCTTTTACCGTGATGATATGTTCTGATGAAAATGGAACTGGGATTAGTTGAAGCTTGGACATATTTTCTACCACACTATTGTCTCTAGTTGAGCACATGTTTTTTTATTTTACAAATTGGGGCATTTCTTTCCCAGCTAACAAGTCTGTATGCCAATGTTTTTATAGCCCCTTCCCCGTCCCCGACTGTTGTGACCCTCTGTGGTGTCACATTTATGGATTCTGTCCATTATTTCACCAAGTTACTGCAAAAATCAAGTGTTCGGGTCAAATATTCATCCACATAGAGAAGGGCTTATGATTAGCTACTGAATAACTCTGGGATACTTTGTATCCAATCATAAAATGATCTGCCTTTATAGATATATGTAATTATGAAAACACATATACTTGTTAACATATATATGCACACCATCTCTGCAGTCATTTGCGGACCTGTGGGTTGATTTCCTTCTCAAAGAAACTGAAGAAAGAGAGAGAAGAGAATCTGCTGAAGCACCCAGCAGCTTATATGAAAGTAGTCCAAATGCGAGAAAGACTGATCCACCTCTGGCTGACCAGTTTGGACATTCTGATTCCGATTCTGATTTTTCAACTGTACCTCTCAATTTGCCAGGAAGCAATTCTCGGGTTAAAAAGTCACCCTGATTATGTGATTAACAGGAAGATACAGATTGATTTGTGGTGGCATAGTCATGTAATTATCCTTTTATCAATTTTGTTCGAATGAGAAGTCACCTGTTTCCATCACCTGATTTTGTTGCATGCATGGGTTCCCCCAATTCTGTAAGCGTGTCATTATGATCGGGAGAGTCATGATTATACTACAGGGCACGATCTTTATTCCAATCAGAATATGTGGATTATCAAATTACCCAATTTTTTTTTATTTTTTATTTTTTATTTTTTTATTACAATTCTTGTAAATACTTTACTAGTGATTCTTTTATTTTATAAGAAAAGTGCTATTGATTCCTTGTGATGCGTCCATCCATATGTTTGAGAAATTAAATTTGAGTTGCAGTTTATCCATTCTCCCCCGGAGAACTTATTCCTTGAGGTCCGAGTAGCGTCCAATTGGAGACGAAAATTTATCAAAAAAAAAAGGGTGGAAAAAAAAAAAAACCCGCAAAAGTGACCCTAAGAAAAAAATGATCCAGAGCTCGTGGGCCTTTCCAATTCCAACGGGCTTTATCGTGGCCCAAGTTAAAAACTGATCCATTATCACAGGCTGACGGGCTTAACCTGAGCCAATTTAAATATCATCCAGAGCTTGTGGGGCGTTCATTCCAAGTCCGGCTTGAGCCCAACGGGCTTTATCATGGCCCAACTCTAAAACCAATGGCCTTTAGCCAGGCCCAAGTAAAAAATAATCCAGAGCGTGTTGGGCCAGTCTCAGCCCAGCATAAGCCTGACAGGCTTTAAGCTGGCCCAAGTAAAAATTATCCAGAGCTTGTGGGCCGTTCCAAGCATAGCTCGAGCCCAACGGGCTTTATCAAGGCCCAACTTGAGAAATGATCCATAGCTCATGCCCTGTAAAAGCCCAACCTAAAACGACTCCAGATCCTATTGGGCTGGTCCCAGCCCAGCTACCCAACTAAAAAATAATTTAGAACATGCTGGGCAGGTCCAAGCCTAGCCCGAACCCAATGGTATTTAACCTGAGCCAGCCTAGCATGCCACCAGCCGTTATAGGCGGGCTTAACCATAGGATGGGAATTACAGTAAATAGATGGGTCTCCCTCAACCTCCAACAAGGCAACAATAGCAGATTTTCATATTTTAGATTACATCCTTCAATATGTTTGCCAATGGAATGAGCAATTGACAGATAAGGAAAATAAATGCCTTTTCCAAGGCCAAAGCCCGAAACATTCGATTTCAAGCTCATATATCTCACTATCCCAAAGCACAAGGGCCAGGATTGGGTTTTATAAAATGTCTTCTTGGCCAGCCCGTTGAACAGTTGAAGCCCAACAGGCTCGGGTCTGTATTCCCAAAATCATGACCCAGCCCAGCCTGTTATTCACCCTTAGTTGATTGGAAAATCAAGCATAGTTCCAGATATTCTGACCTCAGGTGGTTGACATAAAAATGGCAGAAGCCACATGAATAAATAATAGAATCATGGAAGGTAAGAAAATCAAGTCAATAACGAGCTAAATTGCAAAAAATCAGCCACCATCATTAAACAGAAGCAAAATAAAAACGAAAACAAGAACCTGCAAGGGTAACCAATAGTAGCTTATAGACTCTACCAAGAGCCACGCAATTGAACATTCGACTGTCCTTTTTTTGCTATATGTTGCAAGTAATTATATAACTAGATAAAGGCAAAGACTGCTAACACTAGTGTGTTGAGAACATATATATGTAATAATATACATAACACAAACCTACTAGCCTTAGAAATCTTCCGAGTTGGAGAAAACAGAACATTACAAGCAAAAGAAACAAAATGAAAGCAATGGCTCTACTGAATGCAGATACCAAGCATGATCACTTCCTGAAGAACTCATGGCCACAAAGTTGTTGTCTAGGAGAGATGAAACATCTCACCTAATCTAAGCCTTCTTTTTGTCCCTCAGTGGCCCTCTTGGAATCTTACTCAGAACCTTGGCATCGAAGACTGCATACTGCTTCTTAATCTCAATGGTTACCTTCTCAACAAAGGGATCAATCTTGTGGTCATACTTCTCATAGATAACGGGAAGTGTATGCAGCAATACGAAACCTGTTTTTGTCAAAAATATGATCATCAAAATATAAGTATAACATATAGATGGATACCTAAAGACAGTAGAAAAAAGGGAAAATGAAAATCTGGTGGAAGTTAAATGTCATTACATATATAGAACAATGTAATGAAATTGCACCAACTTCCCACAATTGAGAGAACCCAAAGACCAGTAACAACCTGGTAACCAAAACAAAATACATTACATTTCCATAAATCAAATAAATAAATGAAGTAAACTAATAATTGCATTATTTAAGTGTAAGATATTTTCTGCCAAACACCACGGGACCAACCAAAAAAGAAAAAGTATTGGACTAGCATATCTTTAATATTCAGCGTTAGTCAAGGCCACCTGACTGAATTTAGGCTTGAAACGAGTCACAATCAAATTATGCTGCAACTTGGATAATAAAATTTGTGGCTAAAATTTAGCAGAAACCGTATATGAAAAGGCTAATGATTATGAGCAGTACAAACTTTACGTTTTAAAGTTCAGAAAAATTCCTCAAAAACCAACTATAATTTTGTACTTCACATAATCAATTTTGTAAAGTTAAATCAGAATGCCAATTTTGAAACCAAGCCACTTCAAACTCCAATCAAAACCAGTACAGTTATGATTCCGTGACAGCATATTCCAAGAGCAATCATCAATAGTCTCTGAAGATTAAAGCTGAGTAAAGTTTGATCAAGAAAGTTGCTTCAGCTCTTTAATCTCACACTTTAACATGGTACGATACTTAGAAACCTTAAACTTAGGTGGTTTGAGTTATTTTAGTTGGTGCAAAACCTTCACACTTTAAGATGGCATGCAACTTAGAGACCTTAAACTTAGGTGGTTTGAGTCATTTTAGTTGGTGCAAAAACCTTCACACTTTAAGATGGCATGCGACTTAGAGACCTTAAACTTTAGGTGATTTGAGTCATTTTATTTGGTCTAAAAACCCTATTTGACATTTGACAATGGTCGAACATGTTTGGCAATTGATTAGTAAGCTTCTGCGAGTTGGTGCAGGAAAACCGATAAAGCTTCTTGCTAGATTGATCTTTTCATGTTAACTTCAGGGTACTCTAGTATGAGCCAAATGAACCAAGCTCAAGGTGAACCATTCAGGGTTACTCCCATACATGCTGGACCCATCACCCATGGTTTAAATTATGGGCCATTAAAGGCCATTACGGACTGTTACATCCCATAATAGCCACTACAGCACTCCAATGATAGTTTCAAAACAGAGGTTAATACACCTCATTTTTCCCAGTTATTTATCTTCAGTTTCTAAAGCCACCAAAGTACACCCTAATACTATATAATTATTAAATACTGATTAAAAATTTAATATATAAAATTATTTTTCCAGAAACAAATGATAAAATAGAAATGGGAACAGATAACATACAGCGAGAAACTTCTTCAATTCTCTTCCACATGCAATATCTCGCAATAGAGCAAGCGCTCGGTTAATTTCAATCCTCAAGGCAGATGCAACTTGAAGAAATGGATCCTCTGGAAGATGAACTTCAGGGATACGTGGAGGAGACCTGTAGATGTATTATAGTTAGGCTTAAAATTCAATAAAACAATAAACTAAATATAACACTCAATTAGACTATGAATACATGCAACGAAAAACAAAATACACCACTAGCAATGTAAAGACTCAGAAACCTACTTGTTTATGAACGCTATAGCATTGGAGTACAAGAACAAAGCTGCAAGAGAGAATATTGAAATGTGGCAGACTAGGGTGAGCAAGTGGTATTCAATCAGTTCGAAAAGAACCCAGATTGCAGTGGCTACACCAAGCACACCAGCGGATATCTTCTTGTTCCTCCACAAGAATACATCAGCAGCTACACCAAAAAAAAAAAAAAAAATCATGTCATTAATTGGGGAGGAAGAGAGAGAAGGAAGAAGACGCTAGGGTTTGAAAGTGAATTAAAAATCATGTACTTTGAAGGAAAAAACATCCAAAGTTTTAGCAATTTATACTTCTGTTTTTCAATCAATATTTAATTTGCATCAAGTCTCCCAGAAAAAAACTTTAGTAAAGCAAATAAGAGAAAACAGCTATTACAATATCATATTTCATTTTTTTTTGATAAGTTTTCATACATACACTTATACATGTATATATATTTGTTAGTCGTGGAAGTCATTAGGACATATATGTTTATGTATATATAATGCACACTTACATTTATATTTTTTTAATTCAATTTCTTTACCTTTACTAACATTTTTTCAGCAATCAAAGAGTTAATGTATACGTGACAAATGACTCTTTCATTTGTTGAATATTCGTTTATGTATATTTTAAACTCTTTCATTTGCTGAATATGCGTGTGTATTTATATTACAATGTATGCATATATTTTATATTTTTTAAATTCAATTTCTTACTCCCTCCGTCCCAAAATAAGCGTCCGGGAACTGTGATTTGGGACGGAGGGATTAACTTTTTCTAACAATTTATCAGCAATCAAAGAGATAATTAAGGGAAGTAGCAACGCCAAGTAATCTAAAGCAATCAACTGATAAAGATTGTCAAACAAACTGACAAATTAATCAGATCTAGTCACTTTAAACTTCCAGAATCTAGTCCATCAAATCTCAGTCTCCATCACTCTACAAAGCAACAGCTAGATCGAAACAAAAGAACGGCAAGAATGTAAAACACACATATAAGCGTGGATATGCATTTTAAACAGATCTAAAGCCACTTTAAGCTTCTAAAACCCTATGCATCTCACTAGTCTAATCTTCTATCACCGAATAGAGCAGTCTCTAGATCGTAAACGGCAAACCGAATTAACAAAACAAAACAACTGAGACTGCAGAAATAAAATTCGTGTACATATATACATATATATATATATAGAGAGAGAGAGAGAGGTAAATACGTTTCCCTCCGCCGAAAATCTGGTGAACCGGTTTCTTTCCCCCGAACAACCCGAAAAACTTTTCCTTCACCGACTTCGGCGGCGAACTAGGCTTCTTCGGCGAACTAGGCTTCTTCTCGGTGTCGGAGTCAGAAGAAGAAGACGACGAGTCGCCGTGAAGCTTCTCGGTTATCTTCTCCATCAACGACTCGCCTTTCGAATCCGAGTTTTCTGTGTGCTCGGCCATACCGATCTAACAATCGCGAATGGAAACCCTAACTTTTCAGCAAGAACTAACCACAAATAGAGAGAAATTATATGCGCGAGAACTTTTTCAGCTGAGAGCTTGAGGCTTTTGCAAAAGTGAGCTTGTTACAGTGTGTTTTCGATATATATATCTGTAAGGAATCTGCTTTGCGTGATCTCGGAACCTGAGGTTCGGTGAACGAAACAATAGGTTCGGGGCAACTTCGAAAATCTTCGGGCTTTTCGAGGCGTAACGGCGTCAAGAGACGGCAATATTTTAAAGGGAGGACGGTGTGGATTGTGCTGCTGCTTTTACCGGGCGGTAGTGTGGGGGACACGTGTCAGAATTGGAGGGAGAGATACGTATTGTGGACGGTTGCTTTAAGTGGTAATGGTCGACTTATAGGTACATCATGGTGGGTTCCACATTAGCTGAAAACAGCAATGTAGTCGACAGTATTAGCGGTGGTGCTGTGGGACTGGATTAAAAAATTAAGGGTGAGTTTTGAAATTTGAACGAATTATGTCTTTACTCAACATTTAAGGGAAGACTTAAATGAAGGATTTGGACCCTTTTCACGTATCGTAAGTTGAATTCTTTATATATAGAAGTGTGATATTTAAAATTTATTAGTTTAATTCTTTATATATTGATCCGTGCCATTTCAAATTTATTAGTTGAATTTTTTATATATTGACACGTGTCGTATAAAATTATTGCATGTCTTGTAATTACATTTTCGTCTATCTTAATTCCACGGCAAGAATATTTATTTTTGGCGCCAAATATTCCCTTAATCGTGGGAATGAGTAGGAGGATAGAGAGGGAGAATTTTTTTTGAGAAAGATGAAGAAGAGATAACGATGTATGGTGCAGTTTTTAAACTTTGGTAAATTTTATGATGGAATTTTAAATTTTTGATAAATTTTTCTTATCCCAAAAAGGTATAATTTTTAAACTTTTTTAAAATTAGTTAACGTGCCTTTTAAATGTCACATGTCAATATGTAGTGAATTCAACTTAAGATAATTTAAAGGATCCAAGTCGGAAAGGAAAAGAGAGTAAAATAAAAGAAAGAAAAATTAAGTTTCAATCATGCAATTAGTTGTAGTAAAAAAAATATTATTTAATTAATTTAGATAGCAAGAGAATGAAAAGAAAAAAAAAATTAAGTTTCAATCATGCAATTAGTTGTAGTAAAAAAAATATATTATTTAATTAATTTAGATAGCAAAAGAATGAAAAGAAAATAATTTACATGTCAAGCTATCCTTATAAATTCAGTACTAAATACAAAAATGATTCTTGTACTAAATAATTGTAGTGAATTGTTGGATTTGCTCTTTTAATTGGTTAATTTTGTTTAATTGGTTAATTATGTAACAAATATGAAACTGAAGGCATTCACTTAGTTGTATTTAGTAGAAATAACCAATTAAAAATTATTCGATTAGACAATTCACTGTATGTATCCGGTGTGAATATCACTACTCAAATAAATAATATACATCTTGCAATAAATATAAAAATAAAATAAAATAATATAAACTTGTACAATTGGGTATATGAATAAATATATATATATATATACCCTTGTCACTTGTTTAAAAAGAAAAGGTGCAAATTACCAAATATAGTGTGAATATCACTACTCAAATAAATAATAAACATCTTGCAATAAATATAAAAATAAAATAAAATAATATAAACTTGTACAATTGGGTATATATATATATATATATATATATATATATATATATACCCTTGTCACTTGTTTAAAAAGAAAAGGTGCAAATTACCAAATATAGATTTGATACAAAACTAAAATTTTTAGGTATTTCATGGAAGAAACATTTTAAGAAAAATCAACTAGTTTCGAAATTCTTGCATTGATTGCTAAAAATTAGCGTGTAATAACCAAAATGCTATACTAAGAAAATTGTTTTGGAACTTGCCATCCAAGCAAATTTTTCATTTCACGCTAACCAAATTATAAAAAAATAAAAATTAACTTACCATTAAATTCGTGCATTGATAGCAGAAAAATATTTGAGTGTAATAAGTCATTAATTCTCTTATACTATTATAATATAATATAATTATATATATATTTTAAAAAATAATAAAATTATAATTTTATAAAATTTGAAGTTATTGCTAAACACACACGTCAAATTATAAGACCTCAAAGTAATTGAAGTCGTGTAATTTATCCATTTATATATTAAAGTTAAATTTGAAATGTACCCTTTTCCTTAAAAAGACACATAATTACTTCAAAAAATATCTAGATATTATAGTACGATCAAAATCCCTCTCTCCACATTTAGTACTTATTGTCTGAATTTATCTTGATAAAAGGAGAGTAAATCACGAGATATCGCCATATGACAGTCTCTGCACATGAAATCAATAATAAAAAATAGATGAAAAAGTAAAAGAGTGATGGAACCTATTGAAGTTTTGTGAAAGACTTGGTACGGTCGGTTGGTACTCATTTGACTAGTTCGTTAAACAACCTAACGAATCTTGTTCAGAACAATTCAGCCAGATGAACTCAGCTAAGGAGACGCATTTCTAATGACTACGAAAGAGCTGTTATGGGCATTTCAATGAAATCCAATTATCCAACTAACCTAATTCATTACATGATTAGTTAATTTAACAAATTGTCAGATTCAAATTATTATTTAATCATGTATATCAATTTATATTCAATTCATAACATCATATTTAAAGAGATTCATACTTCATATAAGTCCTATCTTATTCCACCTTAGAAATTATTACATGATGTTAGTACCAATCTCGAGTCAATCACTATTTAACACTTAAATAATTCGAAAATGTGTAAGCTTTACTTAATCTATTTATCACTTGAGTGTCAAACGGTGATTGTCCGATACCATTATCATGCAACAATTCTCACCCCGCAAAAGCGAAAGAGGGATGCTCAAGACATTTTTTTGCTAGATCCTACGAGAGAGGGGAGGGGGGGCACTAATATCAGGCTTCCATGTAATATGATTCTCTATCAGTTAGTTCCAATACTTGTTTAAAAAGAACTACAGTCCTAGTTGCTTGTACAAGTAATTTACACATGCCATTCTTACCACACCAACATTGACCAACAGCCATAACAAATACTACCACTTCCCTACTTGTTTGAAGTTCACATTATGGCTATTTTCAAATAATTTTGAAAATATCAAGCACTGTACTAATTTCAAATGATATTACATTAACCAGCTCTTTTCTCTACAATAATTTGGTTTAATCTCACTTTTGGGTATCTTGTCAAAAACAAAAACCAACGCTGTGATCCAAATTCTTACCCATATCCAATTACTCAACCATCAACATCAAGTGCTCTAAGATGCTAAAAATTTTGAACACCAAGAAACACAACAATCATCATATTCCAGTAGAGTTACAGGAATGGTCTTGGTGGCTTTTCTAAGACAGCAGAGAAGAACACCTCTCCATCGTCTTTATCGAGCTTTGGGACAATAACCCATTTATGCTTCTTATACCGTAGCATTTTAAAAGCTTCCAAATAATCATCCAAGTCGGCCTTTGCACGGAAGAAGCTATCAATCCAAAGCAGGCCTCCTGCCCTCAAAACTCTGTCCCAATCAAACAATACAAAGTCCAAGAGCACAAAATCTATGGGGCAGTTGTTAAAATTTGAAAATTTTCTTATCCAAAAAAGGTGCAGTTTTTAAACTTCTTTTAAATTAGTTGATGTGGTTTAATAGATACATTTTAAATGCCACGTGTTAATATGTAATGAATTTAACTTAAGATAACTTAAAGGATCCAAATCCAGGAAAGGAAAAGAGAGTAAAAGAAAAATTAAGTTTCAATCATGCAATTGGTTGTAGTAAAAAAATATTATTTAATTAATTTAGATAGCAAGAGTATGAAAAGAAAATAATTTACATGTCAAACTATCCTTATAAATTCAGTACTAAATAGGAAAATGATTCTTGCACCAAATAATTGTAGTGAATTGTTGGACTTGCTCTTTTAATTGGATAATTTTGTTTAATTGGTCAATTATGCAACAAATATGAAAAATTAAATATTATTCGGTTAGGCAATTCACTGTATGTATTCGGTGTGAATATCACATTACTCAAATAAATAATATACATCCTGTAATAAATATAAAAATAAAATAAAATAATATAAACTTGTACAATTGGGTGTATGTATATATACACACACACACACACCCTTGTCACTTGTTTAAAAAGAAAAGGTGCAAATTACTATATATATATAGTTCAAATATAGATTTGGTAATTTGCACCTTCTCTTTTTAAACAAGTGACAAGGGTATAACAAAAATTATGATATAATGATACAAAACTAAAATTTTTAGGTATTTCATGAAAGAAACATTTTAAGAAAAATCAACTAGTTTCGAAATTCTTGCATTGATTGCTAAAAATTAGCCGTGTAATAACCAAACTGCTATACTAAGAAAATTATTTTGGAAGTTGCCATTCAAGCAAACTTTTTATTTTCCGCTAACCAAACTATAAAAAAATAAAAATTAACTTACCCTTAAATTCGTGCATTGATAGCAGAAAAATAACTGAGTGTAATAAGTCATTAATTCTCTTATACTATTATAATATAATATAATTATATATATTTTTAAAAAAATAATAATATTATAATTTTATAAAATTTGTTGTTGTTAAACACACACAGTCAAATTATAAGACTTCTGAAGTCGTGTAATTTATCCATTTATATATTAAAGTAAAATTTGAACTGTACTCTTTTCCTTAAAAAGACACATAATTACTTCAAAAAATATCTAGATATTATAGTGGGATCAAAATCCCTTCCTTCACATTTTGTACTTATTGTTTGAATTTATCTTGATAAATGGAGAGTAAATCACGAGATATCGCCATATGACAGTCCCTGCACATGAAATCAATAATAAAAAATAAATGAAGAAGTAAAAGAGCGATGGAACCTATTGAAGTTTTGTGAAAGACTTGGTCCGGTCGGTTGGTACTCATTTGACTTGTGTAAATATTGTTCGTTAAATCCAATTATCCAACTAACCTAATTCATTACATGATTAGTTAATTTAACAAATTGTCAGATTCAAATC